CCAACTGGAGTAGTGGCAAGTGACATTGGAGGTTCCACAATCCACTCTGAAGCTGCCTTGCGAGTGACTCGCTCCAGAATGAAAGCAGATACAATGGGTGGACAAAAAATACGCACTGCTCTGGAAAAACATTTTGTACCTTTGAAGACACTGGTAGTAGATGAGGTCTATTTCATGGATCCTTGTGATATGAGCTTAATACTTTGAATGGACTGATAGAGGAAACTCAATTCAAAATCAAAGGAATCCATGCCTGGCATCAAATAGACAAAGTTGTGTTGAAGGAGATCGCACTTGTTGAAGTTGAAACACACTGGAGCGCCCTTCAGCTAACCCAAGCAGTATGCCACCCGACTCAGTACACAGATTGTCTATGCCTTAATACAAGACTAGTAGGTTGGACTACAAGCCTTATAGTTGCTCAGTACTCCAATAAACACTGTAGATATGACAGAAGTCAATATAGAGTGAGGATTGATTTGTATCTTTCAACTATAGTAGGAATACAGGTTTGTTTGGTCTTGTATGTACGGAAAACGCATGAGGCATGATAATGGGTGTCCACAATTGTGCGCACCTATGAAAACTAACTACAGTAACACTAAAGAAATAGCTAAGTTATGAGTTGTAAAACTAAGTAATGATGTCTGTAAGTACTTTATACACTAATTAAGTCACTACAGTGATAACTAGGAGTGATGAAGCGCTGTGTAATGTATGTAGAAAGTGTTCTATCACTACAGTATGCTCAACAGGAGTTGGAGTCAGAGTCTGATTCAGATTCATCAATAGGGATTGGCAGAGTGAATAGTTCATTGGGGGCACTCGAAGTCACTTTAAGAGGTTGTTGTTTCGGAGTAGGCTCAGGAGGAACATAGTCTTTACGAAGAGTTGGTTTATCTGGTGATTTGGATGTGTACATGTATCGTTCATCGAAGTCTGCACGTTCACTGATGATAACCTTCTTGGTGACAGGGTTCCAGAACTTCCATCCTTTAACTCCCTCAGGGTACCCAATAAACACACACTTTTCCATATGAGAACCAAGGTGTAGTCTTTTGTCCTTTTGAACAGGCACATAGGCCATGCATCCCCATACCCGAAGATTCTCCACATTCGGCTTCTTCTTATAGAAAGCTTCATAAGAAGTCACATCTGCAACAGCTGATGTTGGGCAACGGTTCAACACATAAAAAAACGCATGAGGCGTGATAATAGGTGTCCACAATTGTGCGCACCTATGAAAACTAACTAACTACAGTAACACTAAAGAAATAGCTAAGTTATGAGTTGTAAAACTAAGTAATGATGTCTGTAAGTACTTTGTACACTAAGTAAGTCACTACAGTGATAACTAGGAGTGATGAAGCGCTGTGTAATGTATGTAGAAAGTGTTCTATCACTACAGTATGCTCAACAAGTTGTTGTACTTTCTGATATCATGTGACAGAAAGGAGATGATGTTCTGATAGATGTTCTGAACCGTTTGCGTATAGGAACATTGTCAAGTCCATGCCTCGGGCCTCCACTCCGCCGCTCGGTACTCCGAAGATCTACCTTTATTGTAATCTTTCTCTTATTGTTCTTTCTCGCTACACATACCCTTTCATTCTAGTCCCTCCTTATTGTCTTTTACTTTACCCTGCAGGACTACACGTATAACTCCTAGTAGTTAGTCTGGTGCTCCGCACCGCTGCGCCGCTCCGTAGATATAAATACTGCTTGTACGCTACTGTAGTTCCTCAGTTTAATTATCGACTTAGATTCCCTTCTTAACTCTGTGCTCCTCTAAGTCTTCAGGCTCTTCGCCTTGAAGTACTCTCTACTATAACCTTGGGACTTGAACGTTCTCTGGTCTGCTCCTCGTCATCGGCGATACTGCCGCTCCGACCTGGCTGCTACTTAGCTCCTCCCTCTATACTCTCGATCTCCGGGGACTAACGGCGTAACGGCGGTGTTGTTAATAACTTCACTACTGTCCCACTCGTCTTCCGCACTTAGACACCTTGTGGCTTTGGCACGGTTACACGGTGTACATGATCTTAACAAACATGTACTGAGGCGGATAAATGCTTGTTAGATAAATATGTTCTCAGCAATGAAAACTGTCCAAGGGAAACAAAAAGTCTAATTGATGTTAGAAGATGGGTGACAGATCCTGAAAATGCTTGCCCATTGATTACATATACCAATGCTGTTAGGGATGCACATAACTATGAAACTGCAAAAGCATTTGCTCAAGTTACTGGTCAAGAATTTCATTTGTACCATTCCTATGATACACGGGGAAAGGGTAAAAACAAAAAAAACATTCAATGTGTGGCTGTTGAGTCTGCATGGAACATACCCATGAAGAAAGCAGAAGATCTGGGTGGGAAGGTGCCATATATACCTGGAATGCCTGTTTTTGGAACAAACAACATTGCAACAGAATTAGGCTTGTCAAAAGGCAGCTTAGAAACACTTGTTTCCATAACCTATGAAATCAATCAAAACAGGCACTATGCAGTATCAGCAACAGTTGATTTTCCAGCCTATAAAGGAAAAAATGCAAAGCATCCAAACCGTGTTGTGCTGAAGCCAATTTCATGTAGTTTCAAATTTTCTCTCCCAAATTCAGACAGAACTTACAGTGCAACCAGATCCCAGCTTCCATTAATTCCAGCATTTGCTTTCACATCTCATAATTCACAAGGTCGTTCTTTGAATGTTGCATGCATTGATTTTACCGGTTGTCGATCTATCCAGAGTGCATATGTTATGTTATCTCGTGTTCGATCTTTGAAGGGATTGTGTATATTGAGACCCTTTCACATTGGTAAAATCCAAAATCATATTTCAGAGGAGTTATGTCAAGAGATGAGAAGAACTCATGAACTAAGTTTGAGGACTGAAGATTTTGCAAGAGAAAGTTTGGCATGGTATTATTCAAGATTTCCCAAAATCTAATGGAATATAACATGGTGTTACTGTTCACAATCACAGAAGCACTTATTCATCAATATATATGTTTCTCCTCAACTGTTCAGCTATTATTTGTCAATCACACTCATTTAACATTGCCAAATCCACTGTTGAGGTATATTTGGAGCCTTACCATAGGCTCTGCCATGTGCCCCTTTCATCTCTGGGTTAATGGTACAACAACATAGTGTACCTTTTGACACCACTGCCACTGGACACTACAATATATACACTTCAAGTTAAAACAGCCCATGTAAAATAATTGGTTCCAAAAGTTACTTAGACACCTTCACAGGTATGTATAGCTTCTCTTATTTGAGGTGGACTATTCTTACATCAACACCCTAGTTAGTGTTACTTAAAAAGACTCATGATGGACAAATGATCAGAGTTGAGCACATGAAAACAAAGAATAATGAGAACAAGGAGAAAGAGATGGATTACTGGTACAATTTTCTATGAGACTTTTTAAATGTGAATTTTGAGTCTTTCTTTTTGCTTAGCATTGCTCTTCAAGATGGTGTCAAGTTTTTCAGCTACTCTGACATTTCCTGTCTATTGCCATTGACTATCCATCATCACTCATTACATTAACCTATTATCTACCTTGTTGTATAATCAAGGTCATTGCAAAAGTAGTGAGTTTTATATACTAATCCTTACCATGTAGCCCTGATGAAAACTTTTGTTTGCAAGACTCATATATACTGTATATGTTCAATCTCTCTTCCATAAACAATGCTTTCCTCTTCTATCAATGTCATGCTTTGGATACACTACAGCTCTGCATTGCTGCTCTACAATGGCATGGTTTTACCTCATTTAATCTACTGCATTAATGAGCAATGATTCTTCTTCTGTGAGCTTTTGACTGTCATTGCATGTGCAGGCCTACTTGTGTCCTCTCTTGTCCTTTTCACCCAAATATCATTTCTTCTTTGTTAGCATTGTACATGTCAGATGTAATAATACCATTGCATAATGCACAAGTTCGGCCCTTGCCGCTTGCGGCCTTACCCCCCCTCATATCTAGTCATATCTAGTCATTTACTATATGCGGATTCCTCAGTAATTCCTTATGTAATACTGTCATACAATTATGTATATAAACAGGTCATATCCTGTACTGGAATTCAACTCGCTTCTCTCTCAATCTTATTGCCTCTCTAAGACTACAAGCTTTGTTACCCAGGTATGGTGCTAGAGAGTGTCCCCACTATGCACCCCTTGCCTGCTCAACACCACATATGTTGGGCATTATAAATAGCCAATCAGCTTAAAGACATGCTATGCTATGTGTATGCCAAATCCAAAAGCAATCTGAGCCAATACAAGGCATTTACAAAAGAATTTTCAAACTCTGGTGGCATGATAGTACCTCTAAAGAGGTAGCGGGAATATGTAAACTAAGCCTTTTCTATTCCGATACTACTACTTTCTCACGAATATTATACATAGGCTCAGCCGCAGTGTTATAAGAACACCCCAACTTGATTTCAGGGACCGCTTACTTGTTAACCTCCTGTATGTATCAAGTAGCAAATTACCGTTGCAAACAATGTGATTGTTTTGTGTCCTGCAGTTTCCAGCGAGGCATCCAATGAAGAGATTAATTGGAATTATAGAAAATAGTCAATGGATAAGCAGTGATGGGTAGATTGGACTGGAAAAATGATATCAGAATATTAAGGGAAGTGACTGCAATTGCAGAAGGCAACTGTCAACATTTCAGAATGCAGAATTCAACACAACAAAGCAGATCCTACACAAGTAGTTAATGGCAGTGCATGTATGTAAAGAATCAAGACCAGGAGCTAAGTACAGATAGATGCAGATGAATTTAGATGCGCACAAAAGGAAACAAGATTCATGCGGGCAGCAAAGGCGGCCTGGTAATCATCAAATATAAAACCCCGACCGAGAAAGAAGCAAAAAAATCCATGCGCGGATACTATGAAGATTACATTCAAAAACATTCTACGGCCATCATGAGACTGAAGAACTCACGAAAATAGACAACATCAGCATCAGTTTAGTCACCGATATTCCTTTTCAGTAACTTCCTTCGTCATTTCTTCTGCGTCTGTGCCCTGTAACTCTATCGATCCACTGACTATAGCAACACCATTTTCTGGCCGTAGATCGGTCGCTGGTGTTGCGGGTCGAGAAGACGCCAGACCTGAAGAGGTTGCTGTTGCCGTGGAGATCAGTTGCTGGTTGTGCGGGTAATACGATCGTCTTTGCATCTTCTTGAAGTCATAAGACGTGAATCTGAAAACAATGTGAGAACGTTTTCAGGAATGATTAGAGGCAACGAACTGTTCCTCCATTTGCCGCATCTCCGCTGACAAGTTGTCTTGATTTGCTTTGCGTTGCTTAGCCTTGAGAGGATTATCTTCGAGAAGAAGCTCCTCCAATTCATGTGACGCATCGAAATTAGCCTTTTTAGACTATACATGCTGTTCTCAGAAGATTTGTAACATTCAAGCAGAGGGAAACGTACGTCCGGAATGAACGGAGGAATTTGCTCTTTTGACTCCAGCGTGTCCCAGTCAATGGTCTTGAACCATGGATGTCGCCGTAATTCCTGGTATCCTTCGCCGTTGGGTTTGCATCCAAAACGCCTGGCGGGATCCCGATCCAGTAACTGGTCAGAGGCAATCATTAGATAAGCGCTACTTATTTTTGACACTAGGACGTACCCCTTTGATAACCAGCATACCGGGACGAGTGCATTTCTTCTCCGCGTCCTCAGGCCACTTCAAAGGATCTTTCGAGATGCTGTAGGTAAGGTCGGAATTCGTCCGACCTCTGAATGGTCTCCGGCCAAAGATAAGCTCGTAGGCACATACACCTAGTGACCACCAGTCGATGTGGCACGTGTAGCCCCGTTTGGCTAGGATCCTAAGATTTCAATCCAGTAAATGAGAATTGGTTGGTAAGGAACAAAGGAGGTGTCAGTAAAGTATTGATGGACACTTTATCTATATTTACAACCGGCAAGCTAAAACTTACTCAGGCGCCATGTATGCCATTGAGCCCGCCACGCCCGTTAACTTGCGCTCGCTGAAGTGAACAGCGATATTAAAATCTGTCAAGTGTGCGTTCCCTCGTTCGTCGAGCAAAATGTTATCTGGCTTGATATCACTGCAAACCAGACGGAAAATGTCATAAGGGAAATGAGCGATAAACACTCGAGCACTCACCGATGCATGATACCAATTTCGTGAAGAAATTCTACAGCAGAGGACAGTTGCGCTACGTAAAATTTCACGACGTCCTCCTGTAACGATCCTAGGCGTTCAAGATGAACTAGACGTACCAACAACTGAGAAGGGCAAAGTAGACGAGGGCCGGAGAAGCTCACATCGGAGGTCTCCACCTAGCATAAGATCCAAAACGAAAAAGCAGTTTTCGTCGTCTTGAAAGGCATACCGCAAGTTCACAATGAATGGGTGGTCGACCTGGTCGAGGGCAATTTCAAGGTCATGAAAAGCAGTATATGGGGAGAAGCTAACCTCTTCCAGGAGCCGCCGCTCCTGAATGACATTTGCTACGGCTTTCATCTTTACACATTTGGTCTTATTGATGTACTTGAGAGCATAGAGATCGCGCGTCTGTTTGTGCTGGACCACACGAACCTAGAGAGCCATAGTCAAGAATTGGACAGCACTTTCGTTTGCTGTTACACACCTTGCCGAATGCACCCTTGCCTACACATCTTAGAAGCACAAAGTGAAATAGACTAACATCTCCATCAAAATCAACCGGCTAGCAGGCCCCCTTCAGTCAATGAAGCATTAAGAAAGAAAAGCAACTTTTACTGTTGGTCGGCAGCAGACCGCGCCCATTATCAATCGTTATAGTCGTATGAGAGAGGAGAAAGGAGTTGGATATTTCGACGTCGCTGTAGACTGTGACCCTGAGGCGAGTTGACCAGAACTAGAGCTGGTAGCCGGCGGCGGCGGCAAAGGCGGTGAGGGGCAGGTCGGGGGAATTGAAGTATAAAGGTGAGAGAAAACAAAGTGCAAAGAGAGGGGGGCTAAACCTGGCTAAACTTGCGTCCATTCAATCATTTGCTGACTAATGAATGGATATGAACACATGGTCCTCCGCTCCTTTTCTTTTCTCTACGTTCCTGATGTCGCCTCTTCCGGATTTTCTGCGTCCACTCATTATGTCGGGGCCCTCTGGAGTTGGAAAAAGCACACTTCTTCAGCGTCTCTTCGCAGAATATCCGGACAAGTTTGGCTTTAGTGTATCGCGTACGGTATGCACAATACTGTTGTGCTCTAAAAAGCTAATCGATCTCAAGCATAGACACAACCCGTGCACCTAGACCAGGCGAAGTAGATGGCGAACAGTATCACTTTGTTACGCGTGAAAAGTTCCTAGCGCTCAAACAGGAAGGCGCGTTCATCGAAAGCGCCGAGTTCTCTGGCAATTTCTACGGAACCAGCTTCCAGACTGTGAAAGAAGTGCAGGACAAAGGACGACGTTGCATTCTTGATATAGAGGCGCAGGTATGTGTCGATCACCTAGAATGCAAATCTTTGTTTGTGGACCATTTATGTAGGGTGTCCGTCAAATCAAAACAACTGATCTGAACCCCGTCTACTGTTTTATATCCCCTCCCAGCTTGACTGCTCTCAGAGAAAGGTTACAGGGGCGTGGTACTGAGACTGAAGCGTCCATTCAGAAACGACTCGCTACTGCGTTGAAGGAAATACAGTATGCCAAAGAGCCCAATGCTCACGATTTGATCATTATCAATGATGATCTGAATCGCGCATATCAGCTATTTCAGCAGATTGCACTTGGAGAGCAAGTCAGTGGTGACAAACTCCCTCCTTTAGACGATTAGTAAATCATTACTAGTCTCTAGATACTTACTGTTGAATGTATATTTTGGGTATCGCCGTTCGGGTGACCGGGCCGAACTTTTTACTCATATATAAGGTTCACTCTGCTCAACGACGAGGAGCATCTTCCTGTTGAGCTCTGGTCTTCTCCATCGGCTCTCAGGTGCGACTTCATTGTTAAACCCCAAAGCTACAACCTTGCCATGGCCGCTTGTAATGATCTAGAAGGTTGGAGTGCGGTTTCTCAGCTCCGAGGCTTTGACACTACGCCCTGTTTTGAGGAAGGAATATTGTTATCTTCCTTATACGCTATCATATTTCTTGTAGGCGTCGTTAGAACTTTATCAGCATGTCTTTCACCACCGATGAACCGAACGTCAAAAAGTCGATGGTTATTGCGAGGAAAAATTGTACGGTCCCTCCATTCGTGTTCGTAATCTAGTTGCTCATTATCTGGCAGTTTCTCCTGGTCTTAGCATTTTTCACCAGCCTCGCAAACTTGACTATAATCTTGTTCCTCCATAAATCTGTTCCCCTCCTCCAATCGTACATCCTGGAGCCCATTTCTATCCTTGGCATCATATTCCTGACATACTACAACCACACTCGTGCAAGGAATTCCTCCACCGCTCTTTTGATTTACTGGCCCATTTACACAATTATTGTGCTAATATGGGTCAGAACCACTGTAACCAAAGATTTCCATCTCTTTCGCCTCCCAGTCGCCCTCAAATGCGCTGTATGTGTCTTGGGTCTTTTGTCGTTTGCGCTCGAATGTATCGGGCCCGAATTTGACCAAAAGTCCGACTTACACGAGAGCCCTATACTAACGGCCAATATATTTGGTAATTGGGTAAGCCAAATTTATGTGTTCACCGTCAAACTGACGCTCAGGTGGTGTTCTCATGATCGTTGTGCTAGGCGTTCTCCTGGATGACACCACTTATGCGCAAAGGAGCATCGCAGTATATTTCCGAAGCAGATCTTCCCAACGTGCAACCGCAAGATGAATGTGACAAACTTGGTCAGCGTTTGAAGGATGCTCTTAAGAAGCAGTATGAGACGTAATCCGTCAGCCATTATCTTTGCTAACCCATTCCCTTTCTGCCCCTCGTCATAGTTCTCTTTGGAAATCTCTTTTCATCGCTTATGGAAAACCCTACGCATTCGCTGCTCTACTCAAACTCTTATCCGATTGTCTTTCATTCTCCCAACCCCAGCTCCTTAGGATGCTACTCGCATATATATCGTTGTACCAAAGTGCAAGATTCGGACCGTGGAGCGTCGATGTTGCGAAGCCTGATCCCTTAGAAGGATTCATGTATGCTGGTCTGATGTTCGTCGTATCTACTAGTCAAACGGTGGTCCTCAACCAGGTAGGTCGTTTGTGATTGGACGCTCCTTTCGTTTCTCATATTTCCAAAGTATTTCCAACGCGCGTTTGAAGTTGGGTACGTGTATTATTTCACAAGTCAGCTTTGTCGTTATGCTTAAATTTTCGGTAGGATGCGCATCCGATCCGGTCTGGTAGATGTTTTATATCAAAAGGCATTGGTTCTATCAAACGACGAACTCGATCGTTCTTCTGGTGATCTGGTGAATTTGATGTCTGTCGACGCGACTCGACTCCAGGATTTTTGTCAGTTCGGTTTGATTTCGATTTCTGGACCGTTCCAAGTCAGTTCTATGAATCAATGAATCAACTATCAAAGTGTGTTCATCATTTCACCTTGCATAGATTACCCTGGCGTTCGTATCTCTGTATAATCTTCTTGGATGGCCTGCTTTTGTTGGTGTTGCGATTATGGTGTTTTCTGTCCCACTTAACACTTGTATGTTTGATTCCCATCTTCAATGAACTGACTGTAAATTAACTCACGTATACTTTCTCAGTCATCGCGCGTATTTTGAAGCGTATGCAGCAAGAGCAGATGAAAAATAGAGATAAACGTACACGATTGATGAGCGAGCTACTGGCGAATATCAAGAGGTGAGTATCTACGATCCTTCCTTAACATTAAGGGAAACTTCATTCCTTTATAGTATCAAGCTATACGGATGGGAGTTTGCCTTCGTCAGAAAGATTCTCCAGGTTCGGAACGAGCAAGAACTCGTCATGCTAAAGAAATTGGGTATCGTGACTGTGAGTTTTGTTTTTGATCTTGAATTGTATCATGATATAGCTACATTGTTGACATGTATTCTCCCAGTCTCTTAATCAAATGTTATGGGGTGGTATCCCTCTCTTGGTCGCTTTCAGTTCGTTTGCGGTAGCAGCTACTGTATCTTCCAAGCCTCTTACCTCGGATGTCATCTTCCCTTCAATATCTCTGTTCATGCTTTTGCAATTCCCACTTGCTATGGTGTGCAAATATCTCTTTCTAATTCAGGTGTCCATTTCTGATAACCCGTTTATGCAGTTCAGTCAAGTTACCTCGAATGTGATCGAATCCGTCGTTTCTATTCAGCGTCTATCAGACTATTTGGGTGCATCCGAGCTACAGCCTGATGCTCGCAAATTTATCGAGATGCTCCACGTCGAAAATGGTCAAGAGGTGCGTAGACCACTTCTTTCAGATTTTGGATACATTTACTTATTTCTATTACCAGGTTTTATCCATCAAAAATGCCGACTTTTCTTGGTCGAAAACAGCAGCACAACCCACACTAGAGGCAATTAATCTCAGTGTCCGCAAAGGAGAGTTGCTCGGGGTGTTTGGCAAGGTCGGATGTGGCAAAGTAAGCAGTCTTGCTTGATCAAGAGAGACTGACCTTGACATGTTATCACTCAAGACTAGTCTACTTTGTGCTATAATTGGTGACATGACTCGACGGGAAGGTGAAGTGACGGTCAAAGGAAGTATCGCTTATGCTCCTCAAAATCCCTGGATTCTTTCTGCCACCGTTCGTGAAAATATCCTGTTTTCGCATGAATACGACGAAACATTCTATAACATGGTCGTCGAAGGTATGTTGACTTTGAACTTTTAATATCGAACCCTCATCACAGATTTTCTCCTATACTAATAGCTTGTGCTCTCACCCCCGATTTTGCGCTATTGCCTCAAGGAGATGCTACAGAAGTGGGAGAGAAGGGTGCGGTTCTTTATTGCCTGTCTAATCGCATGCTAATACTTCAGGCAGGAATTACGCTGAGTGGTGGTCAGCGTGCACGCATCGCACTTGCCAGAGCTGTATACGCACGAGCGGATCTGTAGGTCGCACAAAAGCAGTGTTATACTTGAATGCTAACCCTACATATTGCAGAGTTCTTCTTGATGATTGCCTTGCCGCGGTTGATAGCCATGTCGCCCGTCATATCTTCAGTACGTGCTCAGCGTCGCTTTGCTTTGCTCCTGTATTAATCGACTGCTACAGCCCAAGTAATTGGTCCCCAAGGTATACTTGCAAGTAAAGCTCGTATCTTGGTGACGAATAGCATCGCTTTTGTAAAACAATTCGATCAATTGGTTTACCTGAGACGTGGAATAATCCTAGAATCCGGAGATTATACCTCATTGATGTCGAATGAAGGAGAAGTCTCACGGTTAATGTAAGTCCATAAACCAAACAACACGCTGGATCCATTAACATTGGAACTTAGTCGCAACCATGGCTCTACGAGTAGTTCTGGTACTTCAACGCCTTATCTTATTGGAGACGCCAGCGGTAGTGTCACTCCTGTCGAAGAAAACAACTCTACCGTTACTGACGAAAAATCCTCTGTCATCCTCTCTGAGAAACTTCGACGCCAAACAAGCTTCTCCAAACCCAAACTTGCCGCTCTTCCCCCCACTCGCGACTCTGTCTCTGCAGGCTTATCTCAGGAGCACAAAGAGCAAGGCCAAGTCAAGGTCACTGTATACATGAAATACATTCAAGCTGCTTCCAAAACTGCCTTTGGGCTATTCATGCTTGCGACAGTGGCAGGACAGGCAGTCTCAGTTTTGGGCAACTTCGCGTTAAGAGCGTGGGGCGAGCACAACAGAGAGACTGGTAGCAATAATGGAATGTTCAAGTACATACTCGCCTATGGGTTGTTTTCTCTCGGTCAGGTTTTGTTGACGGCTGCTGCTGCGATTCTGGTGTGGGTCTTCTGCTCGATCCGAAGTGCAAAACAACTGCATGACAATGTGAGTTGCATCCGGATCTTCTGGGAAAAGCTTGCTCATAATTTTCAGATGTTGGATGGACTTATCCGTGCACCCTTGAGCTTTTTCGAGCTTACACCTACCGGACGGTAAGATCAATCTTGCCTCTCCTATCGATTGTGCGTATGTGACGTTGCTCTTTCAGAATTTTGAACCTATTTTCTCGAGATATTTATGTCGTCGATGGGATTCTCGCTCGTGTCATATCCATGGCCTTCAGGATGTTCGTCACTACCTTTTCTATCGTTATAGTAATAGGATCAAGCTTTCCGCTGTTCCTGTTGGCGGTCGTACCTTTGGGATGGTTCTACCTAACAGTAATGAAGTAAGTTCTGCAATTTCGACATGCCTTAGATCCTGACCCGATTTTTTACAGATACTATCTTGCTACTTCCCGTGAGCTCAAGCGACTTGACGCCGTCTCACGCTCTCCCATCTTTGCCTGGTTTAGCGAGTCCCTTTCCGGGCTTAGCACAATCCGTGCCTTCAACCAGCAGTCAATCTTCATCGCCAACAACCAGCGTCGTGTTGACCGCAATCAAATTTGCTATATCTCGAGTGTAAGCGTGAATCGGTGGTTGTCGATCAGATTGGAGTTTGTAGGGGCTATGATTATATGGATTGTGGCGACATTAGCCTGTGTGGCGTTGGTCACGACAGGAGTAGATGCTGGACTGGTGGGCTTGGTATTGGCGTATGCGCTAAACGCGACCTCGAGTTTGGTGAGTCTTCTCCCGTATACATGTAATGGTTCTTATCATTATTGCCAATAGAACTGGCTGGTCAGAACTGCCAGTGAGGTCGAACAGAACATAGTCAGCGTCGAGCGTATTCTACATCAAACTGAAGTTCAATCAGAGGCTCCTCTCGAACATGCGGACCAGACCGTGCCACAACCCTGGCCTACCTCAGGTTCAGTGGAGTTCAGACAATACTCTACAAGATATAGACCGGAGTTGGATCTGGTGTTAAAGAAAATCAATCTTACTATTGTTTGTTCCGAGGTCACTCTTTTCTGTATGAATTCTCACCACATTTTGTAGCAACCAAGTGAGAAGATCGGGGTTGTTGGTCGCACTGGAGCAGGAAAATCTTCTCTCCTGTTGGCGCTGTTTCGAATCATTGAACCAGTGGAAGGAACAATTTTTATTGACGGGGTGGACATCACTAAGATTGGGTTGCATGATCGTGTGTACTATCTCGTCGTTTGCCTACACAGGAAATTGACGATCTGTACCAACATAGTCCGCTCATCCATATCCATCGTACCTCAGACTCCAGACCTCTTCGAAGGTACTCTACGAGAAAACATTGACCCTGTCGGGGAATACAGTGATATGGACATATGGAACGCATTGGCTCAGGCGCATTTGAAGGAATTCGTCGAATCTTTGCCCGAGGGCCGAGGACTAGACGAACCAGTGAGAGAAGGAGGCTCAAGTTTATCTAGCGGTCAAAGACAACTTCTATGCTTCGCAAGGGCCTTATTAAGGAAGGTGAGTTTTTACCTCATATATCTCCTCAGAATTTCGAATCATGGCGTAGTCCAAAGTGTTGGTCCTAGACGAAGGTTTGTGATTGTCTCAAATCATTGTTCCATTTGGATCTGATTTTTTCTCATCTCAGCGACCTCCGCCGTCGACCTCGACACCGACAAAGCAATCCAAGACATTATTCGTGGACCTGCGTTCAAGGAGGTCACCATTTTAACTATTGCGTGAGTTGTCTACTATTCCGGACAACGATCGTCACTGACTATATGGATTCAGACATCGACTGAACACAATCATTGACTCGGATCGTGTGTTGGTTATGAGTGCTGGAGAGGTGCGTTGCCTTTCAATCTCTTGACATTCTTGGTTGATGTACTGATGCCATTACCCTTCGAGGTTGCTGAATTTGATGCACCTGAAAAACTATTAGAGAATAAGGACTCAATATTCTACTCACTCGCTGCTGATGCTGGATTGGCTCCCGTTGCCAAAGTTTGAAGGCCGAGTCTCATGTAAAAACACTGACTGAGTCGAAGTAGTCTTCGATATGGAAAAATCTACTCTCATGTAAAAAGTACATAGGCGTCACTCTTCTTCAAAAGGCAGTTTTAAGTAGTTTAGAATACAAAACTTGTACGGTTCGTAACAATTTAGATGACCATAGAAAGTTGAAGATGGTGATACGGACTGAGTCGACAATTTTATGTCATCGCTTGTTCAATGAATCCAGAGATTTTGTTCATGGCATCTAATAATAAATTGTAGAAAAGTCTAATTTAATGAAACGGCGAAGAATCCTACATCTAGTAGAACCTTCCAAAGCAATGAGATGTATGCAATGATGTTATATGTCAATGTAAGTAGAGATTCATGAAAGCCGTTGGACACGATATCGTCCTATAGGCTTTTGTGCGTTTCCCCATCCACCCACCTGGATGTGAAGCACACCTCCGACCCAAGACCATTGGAGGTTGTGTTTCTCCTCCCGGTCTTAAAATGTACTATCCAAGTCGCTCCTCAGTGTTCCCTGCCCCGGCGCCCGCAAAAAACCTCTGTTCCCACTGAATGTTCCGGCGTTACCCATCATCTCTTGCTGCTCTTGCATCGATCTTGCACTCCTCCCGCTCCTCACACTCTCTGTTCTGGTTCGCGGCTGGGGCATCCTCATCCTAGAAGGCGAGCTGGGTTGGCGGTTTACCGCAGTCGAACTGTTGTTGAAGGGAGTCGGGTTATTTGTTGCTTGAGCATAGGAAGGCAATAACACTGGTTGAGTGGGCATCATATATTTGACGTCAAGTTCCTCTAGCACTCCTTTGAGGAACTTCATAAACGCATTTCGCCGTGTCCATCTCCCACCCCAATCTTGCCAATTCGGTCTGTCTGTGAAAGGATATGAGGTGAAACTAAGGAAGGGGACATTTCTGATACACTCACGTTCCACGGCAACAGTCAGATAAATCGCATTCATGTACTCCATTTTGTCGATATTCAAGGCCGCACTAGCCCACTCCCTGTTGTTGTCGTTTGCATATTGAATTATGCGTGTCCGCAGCTCTTCGATCACTTCGAGAGGGGTATCGTACGCTACCTCGAGTTCAGTCGTTTCGGCCCTGAGTATGATGTGAATATTAAGCAGCGCAGGAGCAGATGATTGTAGACGCACATTGAACCACTTCGCCTAATATTGTGCACCAACTTCGAACTAGCGAGCAGAGAATTAGGAGCAATGATTTCTTGCCCGTCCACACGGCGGAAGACCGTGGAGAACAGCCCAAATTCTTTCACGAACAGATACTGTGTATGTAGCCTGTTAGCAAGCGGAACGAGTTCAGCATGTACGCCATATTTACACACCTGGTCATCGATCATCACCAGATCCCCCACATCAAAGACATGGGTAGAGAAGATGAATAGTAAACTTTGGAACAACGTCGCGGCCGAATTCCCAAAGATGAAACTGAACCCAACCACGATGGTCGCCATCGGGACGAGACTTTCGATGGTATCACTCGGGTTGAAGATTAACAGACACACGAAAATCAAGACGATAAGGACAAGACCAATCATGACTGCGTCGAGCTTGGCCACGGCCGAACCAGCGTCTTTAAGGGAAGTGACGAGGTCTTTACGTTCACGATAGATTCGTTGGACGGCTTCACGCATTTCACGTTTGGATATATCTCCGTTACCATCCTTGTCAAAGAGATGGAATGCTTCGTGAGCCTCGGCAGTGGTACGAAAGTAGGGCTCAAAGTCTATATAAAACGAAGTGAGAGAGGAATGCTGACATTCACGACTATGAACACACCTTCGACGACTAAGAAATCTCTTTTGTCCCCTAGTGCACTGAAAAGTTTTCGTGCTAATCTCCTCGCTGAAGACAAGCTGCCAAATTCGTTTTCACGATTGAATTTACTGTTTTTGAGAGCGACTTGGCCAATAGCACCAGAAACCTGATGTAATCAATCGTCAGTTTACCCATTAATCATGAAAGGTGACGTTTGGCTCATATCGACCAGATGCATACATCTTATTGAACGCAGCAAATGTGCACTTGAAGCTTACCTGATCGACGATGATACTAGCCATAGCCTTTCTCCGTCTCTTCCGCTCCGCTGATCGGGAATTACGATGATGTTTCTCTCTAGCTGGGGATCCGTTCTCGTTATTCATTGCGTGATTCAAGTCGACGCTACCGCCTAGACTTTTATGCCCCCTCTTTGCATGCGCCTTTTTCCTTCCAGGAATAACAGGTTGAGCATTTGATAAACGATCTAGTGCTCTTAGTCCGAGTCTGTTTTCCGACAGACGATCTGCCAAGGCCTTTTGGTGGAAGTTGATCGCGATGAATTGGAGACAAAGCTTTTCGGCCAGAAGAAGTATGCCAAATGAGAAAAGGGCCTGCATGACGCGATTGACGATGACCCAATAATGACCTGAAGGTTCGTAGACAGAACGAAGCACGGAAAGTGATATCCATGCCCATGATATATCCAGAGCAAGTTTAAGCCAGCCAGAGACGGCGAGAGTGAGCTGGAGAATAAATTAGTAGAGTATCAACATGCCTACTTCCAAAACATACCTCTAGTTGAATCTTCAGACGTTCTACCTGTCCACCGAATAACACAACAAAAGCAATAACGAGACTTGGAATAGCGTCGACTACGAGGTAGGTCACACAACCAGCTGCCCAGATAATGCTAAGCCATAGGCTCCATACGTGAACTTGAGGTCTAACCGGGTTGCTCTTGAATCTGAGTTGGACAACAATCAATGGTGTGATTAGGATCCCTGCGCCTAAAGCACCCAGTAGGAACACCCGGACCGGCCTGGCCAATTTCATGAATGCAAGATAAATGGCTCTTCCACGTTTCGCCTTTGTTTTCTCATAACTCTTTGGCGTCGAAGGGTCTTCGTCCTCGTCCCAGTTGAATTCGTCGTCAGAATTGGTCGCTGTGTCGGTAGAGTCAGTGTCTGAATGGGCTCCGTCAGTGTGAGTTGTTGAGCTGGGTATTGTGGACAGAGGAGGAACATTGGGAGCATAGTCGTGCTCTTTGAGCATCGAGCTCAGTTTCGCCTTGTCATCGTCCATGGCCATGATGGGAAGAAGGACAAGACTTTTTAGCCTCGGAGTCGGAACTCTTTTCTTAACGACACGATCATGCGGACTTTCAGCCTGGAAAAGGTTACATCATACATAGTCCATTAACCGAATATCATCTTCATTCTCGCCTCATAATTTACCAAGCCTTACACAGACAATTCCTCTTGCCAGGTTCTCGCAGGTTTCTGCTACATACCCATTGCACACTGTAGTACAAGAACACGCAAGAATTATCAGTGATCAAATTTCCACCCCAAATATTTACTCCGTGGTATCGAGGGTACGTTCAAATCTGTCAATCTCTTGCCATGCAACGAAGGAGCCTCAATTCCAGCTGTCTTCAATGCTCCACACAGTGGAGCTCTAGTCACTGCATTGATACATAAACACCCTACGCCGCATCTCGCAGCAAACCCGTTGGTATTACGGTGTCCTGCGGACATCAGCTTTTGTGCTGCGCAGGTCTGGAAGGTTTACACCAATTTTAGAAGCTCAGGACTACATACACGATTGAATCATTCTGTATGTACGAAGCGTTTTCTTCATTACAGTTCATTGACAAGACCAGCTTTCAGGATCTGTGCTATCGCCTGTCCCATCGTACGTGTTCCGAAGAGGATACCGACAATGTCTCCTGCTAAACTGCACCCCCAGCTCCTTCGTATCATTCACGTACTTTGTTCCCAAGATCGTGTCCGGTGCAACTCCCTCTTCCACCCATTGTACCAGAGCGGTCAATACATTCCTCTCGGGATTCAAGGTCTCCTCGGTCAATTCCCCATTCACTCCCGGAAGAGTTTGACCGATCTCCCATGCTCCAGGGCCCGACGCACAGTGGCTCATTCCGCTGATGCGAAAGAGACGCAGGAAGTCATCTAAATCATTGGGTCGGAGACTCATTGTTCGCTCGACATGGGCATAATACAGCTCCGCGTTAATGGGTGATACTATCATGTCTGCTTGACCTTGATACGTGAGCATTTTCCCCCCATGCGATCTGAAATCAGAGAGATTGCCATTCCATGTCGCAATGTTGAACGGATTCAGCTCTTCTGCGTGAGTCCAGTCAGTAACGTTAAGTGTTGCGATGTCCAAAGAAGGATTATAGACAACATAGCGGAACCAGTCCTGCAGGAAATTTATTTTCGGTGAGACACCAAGTTCTGGAAAGTATATAAAATAGATGTGCTTACCGCAGAAAATTGTATCAATTCCCCACCGTACATTTCTCCAACATAGTCAGCATTCTCGCTTCCAGGCTGCTGCCTCGGATGCATCAACTTTCCGGTTGTGTTGTACAGGGGACTGAATACCAGTCGAAGCGCCTGTGCTTGTTCCGCAGTGAGGCAATCCGACACATTCCCAGAAGGACTGCATATCAGTTCTTCTGGTTTATAATCGCACAAACTCGGATCCTCGATGATACCGTCAACGACTCCGTCAATCGCGTCGCATTGCTTCAAAATATCGTTGTGGACAAGACCAATCCATTGCTCGCTTGATATAAAGGTAGGAGAGGAAGCGTTTCCCAGGATGCTATAAATGTAATCCTCCCAAGACATTAGGGAATTCCAATTGATTCCAGGCGCACCGGCGACAATTCCGTCGAAATCATCAGGGAAATCTTGCATAGCCTTGTAGCCTTGTCGACCTCCAGCAGAGCATCCCAGATAGTAGGAGGTATCATGGGGTGCACCGTAAAACAATTTGGTGATTTCTTTTCCAACTACTGCATTCGTATGGATGCTAATAATTCAGTTAACAGATCGGTGTAAGAAACGTTTCTAGGGCAAGAGCAATGTTTGCTTACGATCGATAGGTGAAGTCAGCAAGGACTTCCGGATTGTGATAGAACGATGCTCCGCTAGTCCCGTTGTGGCCATTGTTGGCGCCTACAGTCGCAAATCCAAGAGCCGTCGTGTATGCTAGGTCGACATATTGAATACCTAAAAAGCCAAGAGTCAAATTCGAGTAGAAGAAATGATCCTCAACGACTTACATCCACCTAGTCCACCGTTCCCAGTGCTCAAAAACCTTCCCGTCCAATTCTGGGGGAGCCAAGCTTCCATAGCAATCCCAGATTGAGTCGAAGTGGATACGTTCATAGCCACTCTGCACATGTCTGCAAGAACCACCTGAGATGAGGTCGTTGAAGCACACGATGGATCTTGGTCAGGAAATGTTAGATTCGTTCCGGCAGGTACAAACTCTGAGAAGAAGATTGTGGTATTCACAATTAGATTCGCTGTTTGGAAAGCGAAGTCATTGCAAGCTGTCTCGAACTGCATAGCAAATGTGATCTGGCTGGACATTAGGAGAGTCAAGGCAAAGGATAAGAACTTGGGCATGGTATAGTTGTTCTATTGATAAATGTGTGGAAAATTTTGACCACCCCGTTATATAGCGTTGGAGTTGCCATATTTCGGCACCGTTGAGCGACAAGCGTTCGGTATTGACCATGCTTGCTCTAGTACCCAAAGAGCACTTTGACTTCGTCTGACTAGAGCAGCAGCAGTCAACACACGCGCGTTGTAATGTAAGCATCGGACTCGAGACAATGTAAAATGTGTGTTGTGATATGGAACCGTCATAGCAATACTGCATGATCAGCAGGTACTATACTCATGTACTCGAAAGACATATATTGCAGCAGGAACGTGAAGTTCGGAATGAAGACAAGTTTTAGGAAAGGGTAAGATATGATATTGGGAACGGGGTGGAGAATATATTTCATGAGTCATGGTTCACGAGAGCGCGCACAATGTGCAATGCAATAGCCAATGACTCATTTGGGCTCATTTGTATGAGTTGAAAGGATAACGCTTACAAGCTACTGGCACTTATAATTACATCTATCGACTCCTACGATAACGGAAACAATAGGCTTGAATTCGAGCTCTAAGACGGGGAAGACAAATGTCATGTTCATTCGATCCAGTGTTCTGTTCAAATATTCGGAAACATAGAAACATGAAGTCGAGCTCGCGAGCATCCGTCGATGTGATGCGATTCACAAATTACATTCAATTTCAACACAGGATGGAGAAAATCTCATAGATTCTGACTAAAGCGTTCTATTCTTCTACTCGAAGGCTTCTACCGAACCCAGGAACTGAAAATATCATACTGTAAGGAAATCCTTCGTCTTCATTACGGGGATGAGGTGTCCGGAGTTGAAGCTGAAGATCCTTGCGCACCAGCCACCGCCACAGCAGCCTCTCCAGCAGCCTGGAAACCAGCAACAGCCACATCGTGCTTGTTAGTACCCTCACTTGCAGGTTTGGGTTCCTTCTGTTTGGGTTCCTCATGTTTGGGCTTGGATTTAGCTTTCTTGGGCTTTTTTCTTTTGCCAAGTGATACTACATGAAAAATAGGTAAGCGTCCTTTCAATACACGAAAGAGGACGAAGATTTACCATATTCATGGTCCAGTGAACGGCCCTCATTGCTATCCTTAGCACTCTCAGCACCCTCAGCAGCCGTGCCCACCACAGCAGCACCTTCGGTAGCTTTCGCTGCATGCTCTACTAATTTAACTGCTTTTCCGAGATGTCTTTGGTGGAGTGAGCGTAATCCCACTAAACGAAAGAACGTGTGTGTTTGTGTAAGTCGACCTGTTGAACGGCAGTGAGGAAAAAAGATAAAAAACACACCATTCTTAGGTGGAGGCATAAATTCCGATTCGTCGGGATTCGAGCGTCTCTGAGATTCTGAAGTTGAAGCCCCTTGTAATTCCGCCCCGGCGACAGCCGTCTTTCCAATAGTCTCGAGTCCAGCAACTGCTACGTCGTGCTTGTTGCTAGCACGTGGGACGGGATGATGACGCGCAAAGTGTCTTGAATATACGCGTTCGTCCGAGGTTGTAAGGCTGCAGAGGGAAGCCACTATCAGTACACATTTTGATGGAGTAGAGGAAGGTAGAGCACCTCGAAGCGTCGACAGCGCATATGCCAGTAAAGGCGATGATAGCGACCGCGATAGTTGAGGAGAGTCTAGGCATGAAAATAGCACAGTGAAAGTGGAGTCGAGTAGAGGTGTGAATAGAGCAGCGACGGATCGAAATGTTCAGTCAAACACAGATGACCAGCACCGTGTAGAGTTTGAAGTGGGTTAGACCAGCTGAACTTCAGAATCTGGAATATCGCATGCACATATTATATACCTTTATAGAGCTCCCAGCGCCGAGATATGTGACACGGTCTCTCGGTCATACTGAAATACAAATTGCAATTCATCACGTACCCGAAGCCGTTCTGAAGAAAGCGGGAGGAGACTGAAACTTGTAAGTTTTGTTTTCAATTCGATATTGAGTGTTTTACTTATCGATTGACAGTAGTGCTCAAGCAACGAGTTGGTATCATTGATGATTGATGTACAACTCCATAAAGCGCTCCATACCCGGCTCCTGCACAGTCGATAAAATGGAGCATCGAACGTCTGACCGGTACAACCCGTCCACTCGACTAGAGTATGGATGACCTTAAGGAGGCGCGATACGACTGATGTACGAGATTGAGGAGTGGAGAATCGATTTCATACTTACAGCGGCAAGAATACCAATTAGTACCACTCCAAGCAATCCTGAGGCTCTGCTGATTTCGGAAAGGGTGAATAGAGTCTGTCAAGGGAACGGACGTGGACTCAGCCATGGTGTGAAGCATTGGGGAGCATCCTTTTCATGAGAATCCTCTCGTCAGGATACTGGCACCCGACCGAATAGCCACTTGGTACAGCACTGAGCAATAGCAGTGTCGAGTATGACCCGGGTTTATATCCAAGTGATCATTCGAGTCTAAATTCATGGAACCGAGTCCGTGCACAAGTACCATATGCCCAGAGGTTGCCAGAGCAAGGAATATTCGAAGTCAATAAGGAGGTTACAGAGCAATGCGGTTTCAAGTGCAGTCATAAAATGTGTTCCAATAGGACAACTATTCCTTCACTAACAAGACAGTGGTAAAAGCAGATGTCTCAGGGATGGGAGATAACAAACTCACCAATGGAGATCTTCAAGTTTGGTTCGGATGTAACTTATACCCTGATAGAGTGGTCGATAACCATGGGCCAGCGGTTGGCTAATAGCTGAGCTTCTCGTTCATCTACGGAATGTCCCCGCATAAAGAATCCGACAGTCACATAGTTCATCAAAGTCGAGGAACTCGTGAGTCTTTGAGAGTAGTGCGATTGCTTGAGGTGCTGAAATACCATGGTTTACAAGTTACCGTCCTATAATCCAATGCGCTCCAATGCGTCCGTGAATGGTCATCAGGTACGGAACGAATGCGCACCGTGTATATGTATCCACCCCATCCTCCAAGTGAAAGTTTACGTAGATGAACATTTCTCCAGCATCAGCAGGTTAGTGAGTGGGAACAGAGAAGGCCTTTGTCGTTGATGACATTGACACTCCACAAGACCTTCTATTCGACCTCTGGTAATCTTGGGCAGGGCTGACTATGTGTTTTCTTGGAAGTTCATCGGGCAAATGAAGGAGGAGCTTTTTCAGAGCTTTTTATTTCTCCGCTTGAGCAAGATGGGCGCAATTGGCTAAGAGGAACTCCATGTCGTCCCATTTTCAAGCAAATCATCGTATTAAAAACGGTGCAAATATACACCGTCCTTGGACAAGCCGTGTATCTACCTATTTGTAGGTGTTTTTGCACGTAGCTACCCTCGATGTTCAGTCCCGTATTCAATTTTGAGGCCTAGCTACGAAAGAAACGAAAATAGTGCTGAGTGCTGATAAAAGTGACCTCAAATATTCCCACACCACTTTCTTTCTCTTTTCAACGCATATGCCGCTGAAGTTGAAAGGCGCATCGACGCCTCCAACAGAACCATTTTCCTGGGATGCTCTACCTTCTCCATCTCCTCCTCCATCTGAAATTTCCGCTGTAACTGAACCTACAACAGTATGGCTTCCAGCGCGGGACATGAAGCTGTTTGGTGCTCGACCACTATCATCCACGTCTGAGATTGGTGTAATGAGATGCAAGGACTGTGATAAGCCAGTGCTCAAGAGTGCTGTTTCTGAGCATGCCGGTGGGTAATACGCCCGATTTGCTTGAAATTTGAATGAGATGGGGTTCCCTTTAGCCAATTGCGCCCAAATCCGGAACATCGCCATGATAGCTCAAGCGAAGAAACGAAAAGCTTCTCCTTCATCTGCTTCACTCCCCGGTGAACCCTCTTCCAAGAAGGCGAAAAAGTCAGCCCTGCCCAAGATTACTAAAGGTCGAATGAAAGGTCCTGTGGATTTTGACAAGCAATGCGGCGTCATAAACGACAAAGGCCTACCCTGTTCCCGCTCGCTAACCTGTAAATCTCATGCTATGGGTGCCAAACGAGCAGTCCAAGGCCGCAGTAGGCCTTATGATGATCTTCTGTTGGATTGGCAGCGCGAACATAATCCAAATTTCGTAGAGCCTGTGAAGAGAGAGACAAAGAAGGAGAAGAAGGAGAAAAAAGACCGGGAGAAGGCAGAGAAGAAGAGGGCCATCGAGGAAGCTGCAGTTCGACTTGGATATGATCCGAGTAGTAAAGAGGGAAGAAAAGCAGGCGCTGCTGCTACTGGACATACTATCACTACATCGTCCAAGCATGGACCATCTAAACGGCAGACAGCTGCAGCTGCCGCATCCTCTGCCCACACACTCGATGATGCCGATAATGAAAATTATGATGACCTGGATTCCGAGGCCGAAGTGGACGATCTCGCTGGTGCTGTGAGACAGGCTAGAACTCTCGGAGTCATCGCACAACCGCTGGCAGTTCCTGTTGATGCTGGGAGTTGGTTTGTGGAGAGGAGAGAGAGGTTCAGGTTGGCGTACCATATGATTGGTGTCGCGCTAAACCCGACCAAGATGTCGTCTAGGCGAACTTTCACTTGAGAACGAGGCAGATACATCCACGCGGTTTGCATGATTTTTTGACGACCTTCGGACGCATTGGATTACAGGACGGTAACTTATCAACAATTGTATTTCAGTATTACAGACAATCACACTATGCTCAATGTCCCCTCCCCTCCTCTCCATAAGATGCGAGAGTGTGCAGAAAAGTGACCATAATGTCGATGAAATTTGACACAAGCAAAGAGTCAGACTTGAAAGCCTCGGAAATCCTGATAGTCGAATATTGGTTCTCAATTCATCTCGATAATCGTGCATAATCGCGCAAGCTTGAGACACACCAGTGAACGTTGAACAACGAAGCCAGTGACCAGCAAATTATTTTATTCTGACTGTAATAGGAGGTCGTTAGACAAGTCAAGAGGAGCCGAAACGAGAAAGACTCCATAGTCGACGTACCGAACCAGCTTCACAGTGTACTCGTTTTATACTTTTTATGTACTTGGTGAGTCTAGGGGAATGGACAGCAACACTAGATGTGCTGGTTTAGAATATAAGATAAGTATATGCTGATATATATTGCAGTGGCCCATGATGATGAGTGACTCGGCGGGGAGAGAGAGAGAGAGTTGATCAACCACCACAGGCCACCATTTCGAAGCCAAGAGCGGGGGAAACTATGTACTAAGTACATGTACAGGTAACACCAAGTATCGTGTATTTTGAATATGTATTGTGTAAACTGTGTTCGTTGGTTGTAATGGTCAAAAAGTCTGGACAACAGATATGAGTGGCTGAAAAGTAAGTATAAGAAGATGGGAATGATAATGGGTGGAGAGAACATAGAGTCATAGAGAGAAAGCTAGGGAACATAGAGCCAATTTGTAGACTGATGAGTCCATGGTTTTGATCTTGTCGCCTGTAGCGTATGATATTACGCTCATGAGTCTTCGTCGTCGCTTGGCTCGGCGGGGAGCCATGTCCACAAAACAAAGACCGACAGATGGTTATCTCGATGGATATAGTAAGGGAAATAGCGAACGAGGGAAAATAGGGGGAAATGGCGCAAACTTGTATGCTCACATGTAGTAATATAGTCAGTGATAAGTAGTTACAACAGATTTTCAAGTCGCTTTGGGTCTATCTCGTACTCTGTTAAAGCAGCTCCTTCACATTCCATGATGTCCCCGTATACTCAGCTGGTTCCATCACAGCTGTATAGAGATCCTCCCAAACGGAAGGATTCCGAGGATCTGGCTTGTACACAAAATACGTTGGATACTCGATTAACCGAAGTTGGATGATCTGATTGTACACCTGGAGTGCATTTGAACCAGGATATATCCCACGGTACATTCCTCCTATTTTTCCCTTTCTTGGGCCTGAGTTGCCTAAGACGGTCCCTTTCGCTTTTTTTGATGGGAAATTCAACGTTCCCAGAAAGAGGTCAGAAGTTGAATGTTGGGTTCGACGAACGGGTTCAAGCTTCCATTGTAACACTTGGTCTCCTTCATCTTGATGCCTCTGAATGGCTCTTAAGCCCCAGCGCTCTCCAGTCTCTTGGCTAAAGAGCATGAGGAACTCATCATCGCGATGCAGTGTTGGAATGGCTGGTCCAGTACTGAAACCGAGGAATGTCCCGTCGGGTTGATAATGTCCGCGTTTGAGGTAGAGCTTTACTGCTACAGGGATGGCTATGATATATGATGTTCATGTTGATTAGAACCTTGCTACCTCGAAGATGCATTTGCTTACTTACCGTGACTGCGACGTTCGAGAAGGCCTGCCGTATCATTCAGAGCCTCGAACATCGGCAGGGGTGTAGCTATAATCCCAAGAACACTTGAAAGAATGACGAGGACAGTGAGTCGAAATGCGAGAGTTTGCAGTAGAGTGACCATGATGACACCAAACTGAAGAGAAAGCGATAAGAGAGGGAGGTACAGATTGATACAACTGTAGTTTGCAGTTAGCAATAAGTTGTATCAAGAGTGCAGAGCTAGGAGCCAAGATGGGAAAGGAGATATGCAACATACCGAACCAGCGTTGTGTACTTGGTGAGTGAGTGTACGCGGGGGATTAATATGAATGATGACACGAAGAATTTCTGGTTTCGAATTGCGTCGTTATAGCCTGCCAAAGGGCTGAGCTGGGCTGAGATGCTGCTATGTAGAGACATTAGACTGATGCACCCACCGTCGGTTTTTCCGGGTTTCTCTAAGCTTCCATAATGAGCCTTGATGACACCAAAAAGATAAGGAAATTAGGAAATTGAAGCGATGTAGGACTTGAGAATCGCATCGTCTCGATAATAGCATGCAAATAACAACGACGTTGAATTTTTCCAGTTCAAAATCTAAGGATACACATTGTATATATGATGATACAAGTAGGGTAGCGCTAAACTCCAGAAGTTCCTAACATATGTTAATTAACATGGTTAATAACAGGTTAATAACAGGTTAGTAACATCATCCCAAAAATACCATGTTAGACCATGTTAAAATTATATTAGCACCTAGTCAGTAATGTACAAGTGGGCTGAACATTTTTTAATGTCTTTTCTCATGTCTGAGTCCATATTGCCTACCAATATCAAGCAAAAGTTGCTTTGGCTGAAAACTCTTATGCAGTTCACAGTTCTTCCCAAATTCATTTGAGCTGGAAGGGATAGTGCTTGAAAATGAGGCCAATCTGTCTGCCACACTGCTAAAACAGGTGATCCTTCCCCTCTCTTTGTTGCACTTGCTGAGCCAGAGGTAACAATGTTGTTTTGAGTGAGCTAGGGACTGAAAATATCAATTGGGAGGCTATTTGAGTAGTTTAACATTCACATACATTCATAACATGTTAATATTGAGGGTTTTAACTTGTTACTAACAAACCCGTGTGAATGTTAAAATCATGTTATTAACTCATGTTAAATTGCACTTTGGAGGGCCCGATGTTAATAACATGTTATTAACACCTCCAAACCAATTTAGCGCTACCCTAGATACAAGTTGCCGTGGTCCATGAGCAACTTGGAGGGGAGCCTTATGCCTCCTTATGCGCGAAAACTGATGATCATTAATAATTGATATGAGAAAATGAACAACACAGCACATCATAATAATCAGAGGTTTCATCGAAGGTTTCAAGCCACTTTACTAGTACTATCAGGTTGCATACACTTCTTAAGAAACTCCCTCACGTCCCATGTTGAACGTTGACCGGTGACCGGTGATCCCTCATACTCTGCCAGCTGAATACAAATTCTCCCAAACCAGAGAATTTTCAGAATTTGGCCTGGGCCGAGCCACGGGTAACGCACTCGGGAAGGGCACGGTTGATTTTTCAATTTTGATAATTTTACTAACGCACTCGGGAAGGGCACGGTTGATTTTTCAATTTTGATAATTTGTTGCCGGTTTATTGCCGGTCCGCCGGATATTTGATATCAGCTTTCTCGCACCATACCTTGAGTTTCAATGATTTTATGCATGCAGTAGGAGCATTTTTGTGGCCTTCAAACTCTTAAGTAGATACACTGTCATCTTTTGCCTTCTAGTTACCTCAGGGATGATAAATATCCGGGATCCCTTTGAGTATTCATGTCTCCACTCAATTTATCTCAATTTACAATTTTGAAGGTGTTACGATCACTTCTTTTTCATCTTATCTTTCTCCTTATCCCTTGTCTTATCTTTTATCTTTTGTCTTATCTTCTATCTCCCTTATCCTATATCTTGTCTTATCTTGTCACCTGACCTATTATTTATGCTTACTGATACAACATGCGCTTTTCATTTACTTATATTAAACACAGCAGTCTCACAACACGTATACAGCATGGCGATCGAGCTTTCATTACTTACACATTGCTTTACTTATGTTCTACTCATGTTTACCACTAACCCAGGGCGTTGGGCATTACTAGGGCAGAGGGTTGTTCACTAGTATATAGACTGTAGCTACTTGCTGTATTTCCTTAGCTTTGATCTCGTCTATTCTACCTGGTTTAGTCCAGAACTTTGCTTACTTCCTTTATCGCTCCGCTGCCTGAAGTTTTCTTGAGTGTGACACCTGGTGACATCTGTTACTAGAACCAGTCGCTGACAGAAGATCAAAGCTATTCTTACCACCTGTCACACGCTACGCAATCATATCCCTATCACAATTGTCCCCGCTCACATTTTTACCAACCCTTCACAGACTTCTACTCTCTATTCGAGCAGTGTCACCTATAGTACAAAGGTGTAACGTTGAGTCCGACACCGTACTGGCAGACGAAAGCGTCGACTGATCACTAATCTTCGGAGAGGGGTCTTCGCGTGCACAACGAGCTCCATTCCTAGACAGGGAGGGTGCATCTGTTCATCAAGCGAGAGTGGAAGGCTGCTTCCCACATCATTGTACTCTATTTTCGAAATCTCTCCCACATTACTCTCAACTTCTACAAATCCAATCATACATTTTCCCATCATCACCACCGGGTTGCATCAGTAACTCGTCTTCCTTACAACGGATTTTACTTCAAGAATAGGACGACCTAGACTTTCGGTACAAACCGATCGTTACCGTACCCCCGATTCATCTGCTCCATCCACTTCATCTTCCATTGAACGAAATATCACCTCATTCATACCTGCCTACATACCACCCAACTTCCACATGTCTAACCCTACTCCCGCTCCCACCACCACTACCTCCAATATTCATGGCAAGTCATTGCTCAGAGAGCCTAGCATCTTTGATGGCGACAAAGCCCAGTTCAAAGAATGGCGCCGTACCCTCTTTGCCTACATTCGTGATCCGAGGAATAGGATTGTCACAGACAGTGAAAGAATCGACATTGCGGTCTCGTATATGCGAGGTCCCAAAGTCAGTAGCTGGGTCCAGAATTATACGGACGATAATTTCAATGACGACGAGGAGGAATGGAAAGTCACCTGGAAAGGATTCAAGGACGCATTGAATGCCTCCTTCCTAGACAAAGGACTCACAGAGAATGCTCAGGAGAAGCTAGAACATCTCCGTCAAGGCCCCAATGAGAGGGCAGAGGATTTCTTCAAGGAATTTGAAGTCATCATGCGAGACGCCGGATATGCTAAGGATGCCCCCTACGTCATCAGGCTAATTGAAATGAATGTAAAGCCGAAGCTGATCGACCAAGTATATGGCACCAGCAATGAGCGAATCGAGAAATTCGATGAACTCAAACAGAAGATTATCAGTATCGATGATATGTGGTGGCGTCGTGAGGAAATGCGACGAAATTGGTCAAGCAGATACCAGCGGAATGCTGGGCAAGGACCTAGTAGCCAGAGATGGCAACCACAAATGACACAGGCTCCCATAACTAAAGCTCCAACCCCTGCGGTACCCACCCAGGATAGGAAAGACGGTACTGGAACAACTTTCAAAGGTGCAGGCAGACCAATGGACATCGACGCTGCGCGTCGCAACAAGGAATGTTTCCATTGTGGCAAGCAAGGCCACATTGCGAAGTTCTGTCCAGAGAAAGCACCGAAGCCACAGTTCGTCAGAGGCATGTGGAGCCGGATGACACAGGAGGATCAGGAGACCATGGCCAAAGAATTGGGTTTTGTCCTGCCCCAGCAGTAGACGCAGGTCTGCCGGGGCCAATCTCAGAATCAGTATCGGACTTTTCGTCATCGTCATATGTAGACAGTCAATTTAGTTTTGAATTTGGTAGTACTGGTACACCCAATAAAAATAACTTATCTACAATGACGACCCGAGCTGAGAAAAAACCTGTGAGATATGAACCAAACACACCTGAATGGGTGGCGCAGCGGTTACAAATGGACAAACTCCCTATGGCTATAGGAATCCTTAGAGCCTGGATGCCTGAAAGTCGTGTCAGAGAAGCATCGGAAAAAACGGTATTGGCTATACGAAATCTGAGTCATGCAACCGCAACTGAAGCAGTTACCAATCTCAAAAGTCGTAAGAGATTCGTCCGAGGTACCCGAGGACGTGAGCTAAAGTTGCGAACCACTATTGAGAATATTGACAATGGTGTACAGATTGAAACGGAAGCCCTCCTAGACAGCGGAGCCACAGGGTCCTGTATCAATAAGGATTTTGTAGAACAGCACCAGCTCACTGTTAAGGAGTTACCAGTCAAAATGCCGGTCTATAACGCCGATGGCACTCTGAACAAAAATGGTTCCATAGAAGGCTATGTACAAGTCCGAATGGTGATAGGAGATCATGCTGAACGGATAGATATGGCAGTTACCAATCTAGGCAAGACAGATATCTTTCTAGGCATAGACTGGCTACGTTACCATAATCCTAGCATTGATTGGAAGGAATCTACGTTAACGTTCGAACGTTGTCCTGACAAATGCGGGTATTTGCCACACTATGAATCACCTGAGGATGATGGTACAGAGGAAAAACTTGTCGATGGTGAAAGGATCTTCTGGTTCGATTGGGATGGGTATCTTTCTGACCAAGGCCATATCAAAGTACAAACTGCTACTACAGATGCTGCTACTCCGTACCTTGCCGAGTATGCTGATGTATTTAGTAAAAAAGACTTTGACCAAATGCCAGAAAGACGTCCATGGGATCATGCCATAGAGTTAACGCCAGGCTCCAAACCAGTTGACTGTAAAGTCTATCCCCTCAGTCCACCGGAACAGAAGGCTTTAGATGAATTCCTAGAGGAAAACCTTAGATCGGGACGAATACGACCATCACGCTCACCCATGGCTTCACCTTTCTTCTTTGTCAAAAAGAAAGATGGAACACTACGGCCTGTACAGGATTATCGAAAGCTAAATGACATGACTGTCAAGAATCGATATCCACTCCCGTTAATCCAGGAACTCATTGATAAACTGAAGAATTCCAAGATCTTTACCAAAATGGATGTCCGATGGGGATTTAATAACATCCGGATCAAAGAAGGAGATGAATGGAAGGCAGCATTCCGAACAAACAGAGGCTTGTTCGAGCCCACAGTTATGTTTTTCGGACTTACAAACTCACCCGCCACGTTCCAAGCATTCATGAATCACATCCTTCGAGAGCTCATTGATCAAGGACACGTCATTGTCTATATGGATGATATCCTTATCTTCACGGACAACATTGAGGAACATCGGATCATCGTCAGAAAGGTTCTTGACATCCTAAAAGCCAACAAACTGTACTTGAAACCTGAAAAGTGCACCTTTGAGGCTAGGGAAGTTGAATATCTTGGAATCATCGTAGGCAATGGACAAATCCGGATGGACCCAAAAAAGGTTGAAGCAGTTCGAACCTGGCAGCCACCACAGAAAAAGCGCGAACTACAATCGTTCTTAGGGTTTTGCAACTTCTTCCGCCGGTTCATCCAAGATTTCAGTAAAATTGCCAAACCCCTAACACGGCTCACAGGGAATGCGACTTGGGAATGGACATCTCTTGAACAAGATGCGTTCAATCAACTGAAAGACCGGATCATCGAAGACGTCACTCTCATTATCCCAAGAGAGACTGGAAAGTTCCGGATTGAAGCTGATTCTTCCGATTACGCAAATGGTGCTGTCTTATCGCAAAACGTCGATGGAAAGTGGAGACCAGTAGCCTTCAGGTCCAGGTCACTTAACGAGGTTGAACAAAATTATGAAATTTACGACAAGGAGATGATGGCCATCATGGATTCTCTAGCAGACTGGAGACAGTACTTGCTGGGCGCAAAAGAACCTGTTGAAGTCTTTACCGATCACCAGAATCTCCAGTATTTCCGGAAACCTCAGAAGTTGAATCGACGACAAGCCAGATGGGTAGTTGAAATTGCTGAATACCATATTGAGCTCTTCCATAAGCCTGGGAAATCGATGGGAAAAGCCGATGCTCTGTCAAGGATGTCAGGCCTTGAGAAAGGGGAGAATGACAATACCGACGTCACACTGCTAAAACCAGAATTTTTCATTTCTCAAGTAACGGATCAGACATCTACCCCCAAAGACGATCTGCTTAATCTCATCCGAAGAAAGAAAAACCAGCGAGACAAGTTAGTACAGGTTGCCCTCGAGTCTAAAGACAAGGAATGGCTTGAAACCGAGGATGGACTAGCAGTTTGGCAAGGACGCATCTATGTCCCCAAGGACAAAGAGCTCAGAGGACGAATCATACAGGCACATCATGACGCCCAGACAGCAGGACACCCTGGCCGCTATAAAACTATCGAGTTAATTACACGCAACTACTGGTGGCCAGGAATCAGTCGAGACGTCAGGATCTATGTGGAAGGCTGTGAAAAATGTCAGGCCACAAAGACACATCGTACAAAACCCGTAGGACCATTACATCCACATGACGTACCATCCGAGCCTTGGGAAATCATAGGAACAGATATGATTGGCGAATTACCGGAGTCTGGAGGGTATAATGCCATCAGCGTGTTTGTTGATCACTTCACGAAGAGGTTACGGCTCTTTGCCACACATACTACGATAACATCTGAAGGAATGGCACGTGTCTATCGTGACAAAGTATTCCCGATCCATGGAATGCCCCGGAAGATTGTCCACGATCGCGGCCCTCAGTACCATGCCCGCTTCATGAAGGAACTGTACAAGTTGCTAGGAATCGAAAGCAACTATACAACTGCATACCATCCTCAGACTAATGGCCAGACGGAACGGATAAATCAAGAAATTGAACATTACATCCGTCTTTTTGTGAATCATCATCAGAATGATTGGCACGAATGGCTTCCTATGATGGAGTTTGCATATAACGATCGAGTACACTCAGCTACAAAGGTTTCGCCCTTCTACGCAGACAATGGCAGACACCCATACAAAGGAACCACACCGAAGATGACGTCACAAAACCCAACAGCACAGGAGTTTGCCGATAGTATGAAACGGATCAGGGAAGAAGTAGGATCGGCGCTAAAAAAAGCTGCTGAGGACATGAAGCGCCAATATGACAAACACCGGAATGAAGCGATAGAGTATAAGGCTGGTGATAAAGTCTGGCTTGAAGGAACCAACATAACGACAGATCGCCCAATGAAGAAACTCGGGGATAAACGATTTGGACCGTTTAAAGTCCTTGAAAAGATCGGATCCAGCTCATACAAACTCGACATCCCTCGCACGTGGAAAAGAGTCCATAATGTCTTCAACGAAACACACCTATCCCCGTACCATGAACCCCAATTCCCGACACAACCCCGAAATACCGAGCCACCTCCAGAAGTAGTTGGAGAAGAAGAAGAGTACGAAGTAGAAGAGGTTGTGGATGCACGCAAATATCGGAACGGCATCCAGTACAAGGTAAAATGGAGAGGTTACGGACCACATGAAATGACGTGGGAACCTGCAGCTAATATGACGAATGCCAGAGAAGCTGTTCAGGACTTCCATAAGAAGTATCCTAACAAGCCCAGGCCTCGAACCCTTAAACGGATTGAGATTCCGATTGCTCAATTTCCCACTGAATTGTTCCGACAAATACCTACACCAGACATAGAACCAGTCCCAAGTACCATGCCATCTGAAGCACTTGTCAACCGACTTGCGCGTCATGGAATTCGCGCCTTAAAGGGGGGGTAATGTTACGATCACTTCTTTTTCATCTTATCTTTCTCCTTATCCCTTGTCTTATCTTTTATCTTTTGTCTTATCTTCTATCTCCCTTATCCTATATCTTGTCTTATCTTGTCACCTGACCTATTATTTATGCTTACTGATACAACATGCGCTTTTCATTTACTTATATTAAACACAGCAGTCTCACAACACGTATACAGCATGGCAATCGAGCTTTCATTACTTACACATTGCTTTACTTATGTTCTACTCATGTTTACCACTAACCCAGGGCGTTGGGCATTACTAGGGCAGAGGGTTGTTCACTAGTATATAGACTGTAGCTACTTGCTGTATTTCCTTAGCTTTGATCTCGTCTATTCTACCTGGTTTAGTCCAGAACTTTGCTTACTTCCTTTATCGCTCCGCTGCCTGAAGTTTTCTTGAGTGTGACACCTGGTGACATCTGTTACTAGAACCAGTCGCTGACAGAAGGAATTCATGCCTCTATCCTCAATTTATGGGGGTCATGCAGTCCTACTTAGGGTGTGATACAGAGTGCCTGTTACTTGGACTCAGAGCTCATATGGTAAACTCCAGCATAAGCATTTCTTCTAAGAAAAACAAGCAAGCTCAAAGAACTTGACTAGCTATTAAGACTAAATAACATCTGCAAAAGCTGGATGTTCACAAGAGCAATGGAGGCACTGTCTAGCTCCCAGCAATTCTTCAGTACTGCTGGGAGGACTTTCCCAGCTGGATAGTGCTGTCAGCTGCTTTCTGTTGAGGGATACTCCATGTGCTCGAGCCCATTCTGTACATACCTGAGACTTCTCCTTGTATGTAAAGTTACAAGACAGCATTATTACATTATACTATACAGTACCTAGGTAGACAACAATGGAATGCCTCTTGAACACCTCAGTTACTTTACTGAGTTAAACCTTGACACTTTCGAGCTCTTAGCCAACTTGAAGAATACAAATTTTACAGATGAACAGTTCAAAAACACAGAGAGCTATTGTACCAAATACTCTAGCTCATATAAAGAATAGGGTACAGCATCTTTCATTATCAATAGTTGGAATAAATGCATAAAGGGAAATGCATTGAAGGCTGGAGGACACTGTGTCATTCAATGGGCAATGATGCAATGATAGGCTATCAGTTTCACTGTGCCTTCTCCCAAGTGTGCTACCTGAGGAATTTATCATTCCTGAGGTACTTAGAAGGCAGAAAAATGATAGTGTATTCACTGAAGAGTTTGAAGGCCACAAAAATACTTTTACTGCATGCATAAAAGTGTCGATGGTGAGATATCAAATCCGATGGACCGGCAATAAACCGGCAACAAATTATCAAAATTGAAAAATCAACCGTGCCCTTCCCGAGTGCGTTACCACGGGTGTGAGTTCTTGAGATGCTTAGCAAATGATGATCCGCTAGATGAAGGAGATTGATGAGCGATGGGAGGGAAGAAGTACATTGAAGTTCCCCGTGGACACATCTCGAGTACAAGATCAAACACATCAGCAAATAATGAATTTGACCTGCAAATTTCTTTACTCTGGTAGATCTTGAATACAACTGTACTAAAAAATCAGGATGGCATAGCTGGAAGACAATGGTTAACCGTAGTGAACCAGCGTTTATGAGTTTTTTTTCGGTTCAGATTCGGAGTGCCTTATATGTTGCAGTAAGCAAAGACCATAGATATGTTATTCATGTGAGTGATTTGAAGGTGAGGAAAAAACTCGTGAACGATGGCGCAAATATGTATTGTATGTTTGCCTTCAGGTTAAAATGGAAACATCGAATAAAAAGTACGAAAATTTTGGCCCAGCAAGGTCCAACCAGGACTCGAACCTGGGTCACGGGAAATTCAGGCTGTGACATACCACATCAGAATCCCGTGTGATAACCTCTACACTATTGGACCATACTGGATTGCCAGCTCATTATCATTATATTCTTTATTTGTTTTGTTCAAACACATCCTTTACGTCAATTCCAACTTGATCTTAACTCCTACCAACATGTCAGATATCGAAGACCACGACGACGACAGACACGACGATGATGGAGAACACCCCTCACCTCCACGTCGGAAGCTTTATGAAGACGACGAAGATGACGAGGAAGAGGAAGAGGAGGAGGACGACGAACCGTCTACCAAGCCCAGCACGACGAAACACCGACACAAGAAACCCCGGACAGGACTCTCCCGTTTCCTGGATATCGAAGCCGAAGTTTCTTCCGAAGACGAAGAGGACGGTGAGGGAGCAGAAAGTGATTCAGCCATCGACGGGTTCATCAGCAAGGAAAACGACGGAGTTTATGGCGTTGGAGATGATTTAGATATCGATGACAGGCATCACCACGCTCGAGTAGACTATAAACGGCGACAAGCTGAGCGATCTGCTGAAGAAATTGCTCGTGAGCTCTCTGACCGTTACTCTGGACGGGGACTAGGTGGTCGTCGATTCACTGGTGAACTTTCTGAAATTCCTCAACGTCTTCTTATGCCTTCCGTACACGACGCATCTCTCTGGCAAGTCCGTGTAAAACCAGGTCGGGAACGAGAAATCGTATTTTCATTAATGCGTAAAAGTCTCGATCTAGAATATACAGCAAAACCCATGTCTATTTTGTCCGCCTTTCAACGAGATTCTCTACCTGGGATGATCTATGTCGAAGCAAAATCCTCACAACAAGTCGCTCAAGCCTGTGCCGGGCTAGTAGGTGTATACCCTTCTAGAGGAATCCACCTCGTTCCCATTGACGAGATGTCCTTGCTACTATTAATCAAAAAGGTGGACGCAGGTGAAAAAATCATTCCAGGAACTTGGGTGAGATTGAAAAGAGGGAAATACGCTGGGGATTTAGCTCAGGTCGTGGATGTTACGGAGAATGGTGATGAAGTCGGCGTCCGATTCGTTCCACGTATTGATTTAAACCCACGCGAAGACGAGCGTGGTTTGGGTCGAAAGCGTAAAAAAGGCAATGATCCCACTTCCAACAATAACCCTTCCGCTCGTCCTCCCCAACGTCTCTTTAATTACGAAGAAGTCTTGAAAGTCTACGGCCGCACCGCTGTCTCCAAACGAGGCCAAGTCTATGTCTTTTTCCAGGACACTTACAAAGACGGGTTTATCGAGAAGGACGTGAAACTAAACTCTATCATCCTTGAGGACGTCAACCCTACCTTGGATGAAATCACCATGTTCAACTCGAACAATCCTTTAGAAGAGAGCCTGGTGGACCTCAGCATCATCGCCGAAGCATCCCGCAAAGCTGCTTTAGCCGTTCTGCAACCTGGGGACCACATCGAGGTCTTCCAAGGCGAACAATCTGGCGTACACGGAATCGTGCAAGAAATTCAAGGCGAGACCCTCACCATCACCGCGCTCGGTTTAGATCTGGAAGGGCAAAAGATTGATCTCCCTGCAAGGTCTGTAAGGAAACGATTCAAACCCGGAGACCACGTTAAAGTGATGCAAGGGAAGAACGCTGGAGAGACCGGGTTGGTTGTTGCTGTTTCGGATACTGGGTCTACTCCATCGACGTCGAATGTGAATGCGAATTTAGAAAACGGCGAAAAGAGAAGAGAGAATACGGTGGTTACGTTCATTTCGGATATGACAATGCAAGAAGTGTCGGTATTTTCAAAAGATCTTCGAGAGGCTGCAGAGGTGGGTAATACAACCAACATTGTTGGTGAATACGAATTACATGATCTAGTCCAACTTGAGTACGTCCTCAATCTCCTCTCCCAAACCCATTTTTAATCCCCCTCTTCACAGCCCCCAGACAATCGGCGTTATCTATTCAACCTCCCGTTCCTCCTTCCTCGTTCTAACTCAGCACTCACAATCCCGACTTGTCCACCCGCATCAAATCCTCCAATCCCTCCGGCCAAAACCCAATTCAGTAATCGCAACCGACAAAAACAGCCACGAAATCCGACTCGGCGATACAATGCAAGAAACTGAAAACGAGCATCGGACAGGGAGAGTGCTACATATCTACCAATCGCATTTTGCATTCTTGTTTAACAGGGACGTAGCCGAACATGGTGGGGTTTTCGTTACTCGTGCGAGGAGTTTGGTGTCGGTGTCGCCGAAGGGGGGTGTAATTACACCCGGTGGTGCAAGTTCAAAAAAACCGACTTCTGATCTAACGAAAATGAACCCCCTCTCAGCTGGTGGCGCTTCCGGCGGCGGTGGCTTCGTTGGCTCAACAATTGGACGGGGACCCCGCGACAGGCTCATCGGGGCACACGTCGTAGTAATCAAAGGGCCACACAAAGGATACGTTGGGATTGTCAAAGACACTAACGGGGTTGGGTTATCTGGCGTAGCGAGAGTAGAGCTGAACACAGGGAACAAGGTGATCAGTATTGAAAAGGGGAAATTGCATAGGAAGTTGCCGGATGGGAGGACTGAACCCGTCGAGGGGCCTGGTGCGACTTGGGGGAGAAATGGTGGTGGTGGTGGTGGTGACAACAATTTCAATTTGCCAATGGGTGGACGTACACCTGGGTGGGGTGCTTCTGGTGGTGGCGGCGGGCGAACTCCTGGCTCTGGGGGTCGTACACCAAGCTGGGGAATAGGAGCAGGCCGAACACCCAACCCCTACGCAACTGGAGGACATCAAACCCCCGCATGGAACGTTAGTTCTAAAACACCCAACCCATACGCTGGGGGAGGTGGTGGACAGACACCTGCTTGGAGTGCAGGGAGCAAGACTCCTAATCCGTATGCTGCTTCTGCTGCTGCTTCGAGGGGTGGTGGGAGGACACCAAACCCTTATGCTTCCGGAGGAGGTGCTACACCAGGGCGAAATGCGTGGGGTGGGAAAGACAGTTGGGGATCCCCAATTCCAGCTGATAGTGGAAGCGGGATTGGTGGATGGGGTGCTGAGATTCCTGCTAGCACTTGGGCCGCACAGAACGCCCCCACCCCCGCATTCGCTTCAACACCCGGCTTCGCACCAACCCCCGCTATCCCCTCAACTCCAGGAGGCAACCTCAGCAGTACCAATACACCCTACTCCTCCATTAACCCTCAATACAGCCAATATTCCAACAATAGTAATACTTATGCATCCTACGGTGCTTATGCCGCTCCAACACCTGGTATGCTACCCACTGCAATTGGAAGAAGAGCCAATGAAGGTCCTGGTGAATACACCCCACCCCCAGACTGGCTACTCGCCCAACACTTAACCCCACACCTAACGTCTCTCCGGGTCAATATCTCCGGAACCAAACTGCCTCATCAACCCTACCTCGACGGTCTATACGAATCTCTCGACGCACATATCCTCGCTGCTTCCCGTGTAGCAGATAATTACGAACAAACAGCGTTGGTTAAAGTCGATCTGGAGAAATCTAGCGCTGTTACTCCAGCTCAACTTGCTGCTCTTTCTTCCACCCCAGCAGATCGTTCAATCCCAACTAAATTCCTCCTCCCCGTTCCCCCTTTATCACAAGACGATACCGCTATCGTGCTCACTGGTCCACGGCAGGGCGATAAAGTCAAACTAAGACAACGTCCAGATTCCGGGAGCCCGACTGAGCTCGTTGTTGTTGAAAGTGTTGATGCAGGTGGTAATGCGAGTGGGACTAACGGGACCGAAGGAGGCGCCTTTTGGGAATGCCAAAAAGATTGGATGTGTGTATGTTGGTAATGAACTCACCCTACATTGTATAGCAATGTCACAGGACAGTAGGGTTTCCTAAGCATCAGATGTAGTGTTATGTGTTATTTTCTTGTCTCCCCCCCTTTGCTCATAATATTATCTCCATTTCGCAGCTAATGTCCAAGTGAAGGCATCTTCTTCCTCCTGGTTGTCTGTGAAGTCAACTTCCAGCGCATGATGGTCTAATAGTGTAGAGGTTATCACACGGGATTCTGACTCAGTAATTTCCCGTGACCCCGGTTGGAGTCCTGTCAGTGTTAGACCTTCGATCTACTATCGTGACGTTTAGTTTACAACTTACATGTTTTAAGAGAGGGGTATGTTTTCAGTATATTACCATTCGCACAATTTCCCTGCACCTTGCTGATAGTTCTGGTGATGATTTTCATTCAATGCTCAAAAAAATTCAAAACCAGCAACCATGATTATGACCCCGAGGAAAGTTCGCAAATATTGAGAGAGGACTTGGTGTAGAGCTAGTCTCAAACAGAGAGGACCTGCACATTGTCAAGCAAACAGCTGCTTAATTATGGGGTTAGGTGCAGCACAGGCACATGCAGATATTCAAAATGCACTAAATTTTGATGATGCCTTAACATGCCTGTCAATGACTCCCCAGCTTGCGCAATTAGGGTACCCCCCGAGTGCGGCAATTTTCTTGAGGACAATGTGATATAATTATTCCATATTATATCTACTTGGTGTAGTTGGTTTATTTGTTGACCTCTAGTAGTTTCAGTTCAATCAGAGCTATTGTCAATCGTTGTGTTACAGTAATGAAATCTCTTGACATGATCTACTCAATCAGGACACAGTGCATTTCCGATCCCTTTACCAGTGATCATTCAGATCAACTGCTCCCTACAGGGTCATCTGCCTTGCTTGCATGGGTTTCAGCATTTAAGTTGTTGCATTTACATATATGTTGTACAAATCAAAAGAAGATTCTCAAAAAATTGCGGGAAAAACACTTAAGAGTGTAATGGAAAGAATATGAATATGGTAGAGGAATGTGTACAAGTAGGGAAAGATAAAACCAAGGTGTAAAAGGCTATGAGAATGACATGAAAGGAGAATGTGGAATATGGAAAGGCTCGAGGGGATCGGAAACTATCAATACCATTTAACAATCTTACACTGTAAACCAATGCCAAACAAAACATATGTTCAAACATTGTGTTGAGTACTAGACTGCTTATAAGCATAGCATTAAGCCAGAAAGAACATTATGCAAAATCAAGCTCATTACATTGTAATCCCATTAGTTAGGGGTTATGACACTGGCAACTGGGACATGCTACTGGAGCATGTGTGCCCCGCATTGTATTATTATCATTCACACAATTCCCTGCTGGGCTGATCTTGCAGGTACCTCCCCCATCTCTACATTGCTTTGCATCACAGTAGCTGTAACCTTGAGCTGCCACAAAGATGCAATCACTAGCTGAAAGTCTCTTTGTGAGTTCAAGTGATCTCTTGTTTTGGTGATTCCCCTGTGCTGGAATAACAGATCCAGAAACTAGCATAAGATTGACACTGCTGAGAAGCATGATGGAGGTCACTGTAATCTGCATTGCACCAGTGTTCCTGTCTGTCATAACCCATAGTAAGCTTAAAAGTTATTGAACAAAGTTGTTGCTCATAAGACATACTGAATATATGCTTGTCAGGGATGGGTGAGTAAAAATAAAGAACTTGGGCAATGCCTTCAAATTGACCCGCACTGGAAGCAGAGGGTTCAATGAAAGGGAAGGCTAAAAGCAGAGGCCAGACATACAATTTGAAGTAAAGAGAAAAGAGCCAGTCTGAAGGACTTGAGTTGAGAAGCTCATTTTAAATACCAAACTCATTGCCAATTCTGGATCCTTGGGGATGTAAGGAAAATGCGCCCTCAAGGGTAAGATGGGCACAGAAGCTTCCGACCAGACCGATCCCAATTTCTTGCAACCGTACGGGTTGTAACATAATGATATATTTAATGGTCTACATCTCAAAAAGTATTTCTTCCACATGGAACTAATAAATTATGTAACTGGTCAGAGGTGAAGGTATGAAGCTTTACATACTAATAATCATGGGGGCTTGATATTTTTTTGAATTTACATGTAAATTTGATGTGGAAAAATTTGCCGGGTTTAATGCCAAATCCTTGTAACAGACCCACTAAGCATCCATGCATTTAATATTGGAAAAGGAGCTGTCTCGGGCCACCAAGTGAATATCGGGGGTATTCATATTTGCGAACATTGGAGAGTTTGGTTGTGATATGTTTTGAAGGTTACGACATTTGAGCTGCTGGTTGCATTTGCGTTTTTTCATGTGGAAGACAAGGAGTTAGGATAGGATGGTCAGGTGTCCTAATTTGTGAGTGAGAGTTGGAGAGAAGGACGGATGTGAGGAAAAGATAGAAAGGGAAAAGCCGTGTCAGGGGAATTGAGTATTGCGCCACATAATAAAATCGGCAATCTCTCAAGCCTCTCTTGTATATGTAGAACATATGTACTTCAGGTTATTACTTGAAAGCTCATTATTCTCCCTCAGTCTTTACTAAAGTGATTTCATATACAAGCCGGAATTTACATGTAAAACTAGTGGGTCAGAAGTGGGTGCAAAGTCAGTGTGCAAAGGAATAGAAGGGTCATAGCAATATCAACGTGATATTCAAACAACTTCCGGAGTTTTTGTCGGCGCTCCGATTTCGATACTACACAAAAGATTAATGATGTGGGTGGTACAGAATGTGCATTGTGGGTGAGGAGAATCATGTACAGATATACCAGAAAATACCGAACACACCATCATCACCAAGTCAATACATCATGAAATTATATTGTGTGTTTTCACGGGTTCATGCCCCTCTCCATGTGGCAATTCTACCGACGAGAACTTGAATCAAATCATACACCCAACTGAACTTGGCCAATGCTCATCCTGTGTATCTATGAACACATAGGCAACAACTGGAGAAAATGCTGCTCCCTGTAGAATGTATTCTGCATCTCTGATACTCTCGAGAGTCTGAATGAACCCTTCCAAGGGTATTTCCTCGTCAGGAGGAGGGACTATCCCTCGGAGATCATAGTATGCTTTGTTGAAACGTGGTCCGAAACAGGTTTGTCTGCCTCCTTTTCGACTGATGTTGAAGGCAAGAATGCCAAATGGATTGGGGACAATTGGTGCAGGTGAATGACGACGTGGGGGAGGAAGATGAGAGGAAGAATTTAGGACCGTCTCTGGAATTCCCAGGGCATTGGAAGAATTGGACTGAAGTAATGGTGTCATTCATGAAACACTGAGTGTATGATTTATGCAGCCCACCTGTCCCATGTTTAGAGTAAGTACTGGTAGTAGATAGCTTAGGAGTGCACCTACCACCTTGTCTGGCTTGATACAATGCTTATAAGCAACCTACTTTGACATGTTATCAATGCATATGAATCAAGCAATTTGTGCTATTTCCGTTCATGTAAGAAACATGCTGCTCTCTCCATGAGGTGATCGATGTATATTGGGATTGCGGGCTTAGTTGAAGCTGCTGTATCAGAAACTTCTGCAGAGGTTTTACCATCCAATAAAGACATTGCTTACTTACCGTAGTTCTCCTCGCCCATATCGGCCTTCTTCGAAAGCGCTGGAAAAAGATCCGGGCAAATGAATGTTTAAGTCGGATCCAAGATGGGGCCCACAACATGAGGACAACTCATCGATATTTACACAACGCCCACTCTTGACCCACTGTTGGTGTTTAGACCTCCAGCTTCATGAAATTCATTCAATAGAGGGATCATGGAATGCTGAAGTGCCGAGCAAAAATCAAAACACTTAAGTATCAACTGGAAGCTGCCTAACAGCAAAAAAAACCACTCACCTACACACACAGATTACAATGAGCCAAACTATTGAGGTCCGTATGGGAGATGATGGCTAAACCTTCTCTGAGTGATACTAAAAGCCTACCATTATGTTCTACCAGCCAAATTCAGTAACAGATGTCACTTCCCCTTCACCAGAAGAAGACCTCGAACGTCCTTATCCTATCCCTGGGATTGTTGTTTTCAACATTGGAAAGACCGAGCGTAAACGATTGGACACCGGTCCAGAATGGGAGGCAGTCAGGCCATATCATCAGCTTCTGCTGGAAGCATTAATAAAGATGCTGAGGAAGACTCAAGCGAAGAAATATACCGTTCAAGGAGTGTCGGTGTCGGCAGGGGCACAAATCGTGATTGACACAGATGACGAGGATTGGGCAAATTTTGTTGACTGTAATTAAAGGGTATATCTAGGGTATACGAGCGGCAAACGGGGTATTTACAGCTCGGCATGGAAGCTCATGGAAGACTCGTAACGTGATCATTTACATTCTGGATATGCGCATATTGTTGAACGGCTTTGAATTTGAGGACACGTCTAGATATGTGCCTTGAATTGCCATTGAGGTGAACATGTATCCCTGCTACAACAGCCATGCAAGTGCCCACATCGTGAGTGTTCGAAATAAGAAAGGTGATTTGTAAGCGCTTCGCGTTCTACACATCCTACACCCATCATATCGATATCAGATTCAATCCCTCTTCTTGGAACCTCTTTCGCCATTCTAGTCACTATTATTGGAACGAATCACCGTTCCACCTGTTGATGAGCTGAAGGTTTCCGAGATCTTCTCTTCTTCACACTCGACAAGAACTTGTATGGCTGCAGTGAATGCTGAAACTTGCTGAAATCAGTTCCAGGATTTATCTGGCTTTGTTGTCAGAGAAGCAAATAATTGCAACTCGTTCAACGATCTCATGCTGCGCTAACATATCCCATTCGTTGAATATCTGAATTCTTACAGAGCAGAAATATCAGTGTCTTCCAAAACATTCCTGTTACCATGTCCACTCAATAATCTGTAGTAGTACCCCAACTCTAGCGATTTTGCAAGATTTAACATCCTATTGTTTGAGAGGTACGGTCCCATTGAGGTTCGAGAAACGATGCTACACTACGCTTATGTGTGCCATGGTCAAACGTCAAAGAGTTGCCGAAAATGCTCTAGATCGGTTTTGGTCGAGATAAGTCGAATGACTTCACTCAGTCTTCCTTGTATCCTGACCCGACGCGACTGTTCGCCCACTGGGAACGTTCAATCAAGCTCAATCCTCAAAATGACGAGTCGCATCTGAATGCATCTTGTCACTGACTGCAAACTCAGATGAGCTCCTGCCCATTGAACGTTCGAACGTTTTTGCCTGTTTCAAGACTTACAATCCAGAGCACGAAACCCACCTGTCGAACTTACTACTTCATCTAACAGACCGTGTTGTAGACATTGACATGCGAATCTTGCTGGGGTCTACAATCTCATCTGGTGAACTCAACCTTGAGGACGATCACAGCTATTTGTCTGGTGTGTCTTCATCATCATTGCTCAAAATTACCGTATTGACATACTATCAGAGTGCGAAATGACATTGCAGAGCTTTTCGCCCACGAGTGTGCTGCCTGACGAGCTCGTAAACATTTTCTGTGCTGCCCAATGATAGGGCTTCTGGCAGAAGTCCCCTATGACTCCTGTAAAGGCGTTCACCTGGTAAAGCCAACAACAGATCTTACCGCGCCCGTAAGTAAATACAGCACATCTCGTATACTCTTTGGGAAGACTACAGTGAATGCTATACTAGCTATGACTTCAACCGACCTTTAGATCAGCGACAACACTGTTTCCATGTGCGCTCATCTGCTTAGCTTCGAATCCAACAATTAACAAATTTCGACTCGTCTACGAGCGGACGTGACCTCGTGCAGGAGGGTATGGAATGTTTATCCACCAACTTTTGGTCCGGGCAAGCATAATTATCGACCCTCCTATGACGAGAATCTACGTAGTTACGTGTAAGAAGAGAGAATATAAGTAGTGTAATGTTAGTTACAGTGAAGCGGATTGACTTTAAAGGAAATGCTCATGAGTCTGTAATCCAAGCATGGTGGGATCACGATGAACTCCGAAAAAAAGTCACCCTATGTATCTCTTAAGTGAGAAGGTGCATGGTGTGTATCCATAATTGTCAAGCAAAGTCAACGATTCATCCAGCAATATCATGATTTTGACTGTCTTTTCTTTTAATCGGTGCGAATGACAGCCTCTATTTTGGTTAAAATACGAGTCAGCGTTAAGCCGATGAGAAATCGCGATAGGACAAAGCACTCACTGAAAAATTCATAAGATAACCAACACAGCGCGCTACTGGGAACGGTTGTCATAACACGAGGTGACAAACCTCTTCCGAACCCTCTAAGTCCATCCCGATTCCAAATGATTCTGAAAGCATCCAGCATCCCTCGGACATTCTTAATTTCCGGATCATGCGACGTTCCTCTCGTCTGAAGCATAGTTTTCGCAACATCTAATGGTGTGGTGACGGCAGCGGCTACTGCGCCTGCGCCTGCACCCGCTATCATATGAGCTGAAGGGGAATATTCGTGTGTGGGATTGATAACTCGCTTGAGATGTTCGTAGATGGTGTACTGTATTGCGTTAAATGGTATGGAAATGGCCAAGGTCGTTGGGTAAGAAACGTAAAAGGCTCCCAAGCCCTCCGTTTGGTAGACCGTACGTGCACAGTTGAAGACAGAGCGAAATTGAGATTGGTGAACTTGCATTCTTTGTTTAATCACTGAGACATCGGAGTTGATTCATCAGTCGTTGAATAAAGCAAGGCTTTGATGAGCTCGTACCGTCGAAAGGATTCATTAATGCGTCTGCAGCTGTTGTTGCAGATGCACCAGCAATCGCTGTAAACTGACAAATCCATCGTAATTCTCCAATGATATGAAATGCATACGTACAAGTAGCAACCCACTGATTTCCCGCTTCATTTCCTCCCAGAAGCTCTTTTACAGCTTCCAACGTCCCAAAATGAACCGCGTGCGCGGGCCCGGCACCAATCACAACAGACCAGACTCCCCGCCATAAAGCCCGAACACCTTCTGTTGAAGATATACGTGTCAGCGCGTTGCCGACACCACTGTAGACCGCCACGGGGGACGTTGCGAATACTTGCATTCGCGTCTGTGAAATTTCCTTTAGTGGTATTTTTGAACGCAAGGAGTGATACCGACTTTGATACTGTCCACCGGATACATAACAGCATGTTCCGATATTCCTGCCTAAGCAAAAAAGTTGAATGAGACAGTTTTCAACGACGAGAAAGGCTATGAGGCTAGCATACCAACGCGCCCGCCAGCATGTTCACCTACATAAGTGCTTTCAATGTTCCAATCCTATTATATCAGAAAAAAAATTGCACGCACACCGAGCCCAGCGTTTGGCGGCAATGCCTCATAGTCAACTTCTTCTAGTGCCATTTTGATTTATGCAACGAGGTCAATGTTGCAATAGGCTGGCAGTCGGTTGGCAGTGGCAGTTTGTACAAAGAAGAAGGACGAGTACCACAAAGATTGCCACCAATGGTGGTAGTGGTCCTTCAAGTGACTTTTTACAATTGTACCCGCTTTTGTGCCTTACAAACCCTACCGATCGCGAGGATTGATTTCGGGGACTGGATCACTAAATATTGACATTCTCCCTTCTCATTCTCATGTCTTTCACCGTCTTTTCAACGTCCAATAAGTAAGCGGATAGAACTGGGAATAAACCCAAATAGTAATATATATGTAGTCTTCACAATTACTCATTCTTATCCTACCGTGTCCTACCGGAAAGGTGCCATTCTATTCCCGATTCTGTACACGGTGGTGAGAACAGCTGGAGAATTCGAAGAAGTGTGGATAGACAAATGAATACCGAGGCCTTTCTTCATAATACTTGGTTCGGCGATTACACAGGTTCTCGGAAAAAGGTATTGTTCGCCTGACCGGAGGGGTTGTGTGGATGTAACTCGCAGCAGCCCACTCTAAAGGGGATGATGTTATCGACGTGTACTTTTCTGCACCCAGCGTCCAAAACATGGTGAGACAGTCCGTGAAACATCATAAGTCAATGTACTTATAAGTATAGAAGTTTGTCGATACTATCTGCGATCGGCAAAGGCAATGAATGTCAACTGCGCCGCAACAAAATCTTTTCCGTTTCTCACCTGTCCATGTATATAGAAACGACGATGACATCGGTTTCATAAGTTAACGTTCCTCAACCACTCACACGCGTACGTCCACTGTCTTTGCTGCGGCATTTTGTTCATCTAACGCGGCGAACTTATCATGCTCCTCGATATTTCTGTTAAACATCAGTTCGTATCACGGGAGAGAGCTAAAGGAGCTCACGTTGATTCCCAAGGATAATCTAACCTATATTTACCATAAGAAGTAAGCACCAAAGTTCAAACGTTCATTTTTCAGTATCATGCTTACCACACATCATCCACCTCCTCTCCAGAGTAATATCTTTCAAAAAAGAGCCTCGTTAGGCGTGCAATCCTTCGTATTTGAGATCGCGTTCAAAGCCACGTACAATGTCCCTTCCGGCAACTCTGCCAACTTTGGCTTGTTCTTGTTATGAACGACGAATATCCCGAACTTTGTTGAAGCGCGCAGCGCATCCCGATCTACTTCGGGATAGTTTAAAAGTTCGGCTTCAACATCTTTTCGGAGTTCAGTGAGGGCGTAGCTAGGGTATTAGGAATCAGTAAGGAATCGAAGTTGTACAAATTGAGGATGTGTGATTGGATCTGGTACATCTATCTTCATCGAGGGTAACAAGTGAACCCACCTCAGGGTTTTCCGAGTGTCGTCAACTTCGTCCTGATGAAACGATGACATGCAACATAAAATGAAGAGGAACTATTATCACGCACCACAATGAGGACGCGCTTTCCTAGGAGCATCTTACCAGCATCAGCACCTCTGTTTCATTCAGAATAGATAAGATCAGTCAAGGCGGGTGAGGATCCACTCACAACCACTGCGTACGGATGACCTGTTCACCGATCTTATCTTCCGTGACTCCATCAACTGGTTCATAAAGGGATAAACCGATTGCTTGTATTTGAAGAGTTTTGTTCGTAGTTATTTCGCGTAAGAATGTACGCTATGTTGAAAGATGCTGAATTAGATCCCATTGATCATCACTGTACAGAGTAGTACTCACCATAACCCGAGCAGGAAAGAATCCTCTACAGGACAGTCATCACCAATTCGGACATAAGAGCAACTGCCGACTGACCCTCCGCCTTCATTGGCAATAGCAAAGCGTGATCAGTAGTAGTAGAATATAACCAGGAAGGAAAAGCATATACCGATAGCCACTAATAGATCAGGATTGAACTCTGTAGCGATCTTTGGCGTATTTTTGCGGATTAAATTGTGGATATTGTTATAAGTTACGTGCCAGTGCTTGACTTCGCTTTCGGTCGACATCGTGAAAGAAGTAGTGGAGGATCGAAGAGATCAAACTTTCCATCACAGGCTGAATCGCGTGGAAAATGCCCAATAAATTCAGAGGCAAGCGCTCACCACAACACACAGTAAAGAACAGCAAGTACACTCAGATCATGAGTATATACATTTGTTAGCGATTCCCGTCCAACTTCACAAATCAATATCAACAGTAACAATATAGTACCTTGTCCTAAACATAAGTTACAGTCGAAGGAAATCGTCCTAATTACCGGAAGCACCGCGAGCCATTTCGATCATGAGATCCTTGGACTTGATACGTGATGTTAAGAAGGGTCCAAAAATAATGCCACCCATAGCATCCATCCAACCCATTCCACTTTTCTGTGGACAAAAATAGGTAAACTTTGATTTACCTCAAATCAGAAACTATGTGCGCTCACCCTTCCATCTGAAACCAGAATCATCTCCATACTACCCTTGTATATTTTCCCTGCTTTGGATACATTCACTTCCTTGAGATACAGCTCAACATTCTTCGCAACAACAGGTGCATGTCCCATTTGTGCTTTTGCCGCAGTCTTCTGCTCATCCCACTCGATTAGGTCTCCCAAAGCAAATATGTTTGGATGAGAAGGGAGCTGCAGCGACGGTAGAACTTTCACTGTTCCGCTAGGAGTGAGGAACGATGAGGGGAGGTAGGCAGTGTTCGATTGAACACCCCATGTGCGAAGCTGCGAGTAGAGCAAGATAGCATATTAGTTCAGTAAGTGAATCAATCAGATGTAAGCTCACCACAAGGTCAGGTTCAAGAGATTTCCCATGAGCGGTACGGATTTGAACAGGGCCGGAGCTTTCTGCAGGAAGTTCCTCAATGTAATCGTCTAGGATGACCTTTACACCACGTTTCACAAGCTGACGCCGAAGACCATGCCGCAGCTTCGAAGAATAGGTGTCGTTGAGCAGCTGGGCACCACGATTCAATACCGTGACAGATTTGCGCTACAGAGACAACAAATGAGCATGAGCAACTAGGTAGACTGAGTTAGAGGAATCCCTCTCCTCACCGGCCAGATATCCTTGATTTCTCCAGCAAGTTCTGCCAGAAACGGAATGAGTAAGAACACGATCGGAACAAAAAAAACAGCACAGATAAAGCCCAATATACATACCTATCCCTACAGCACCTCCACCGACCAAAAGAATATCATTAGCCTTCGCTATCTCCTCCCTACGAGCAGCGATATGTGCCTTCACGCTCGCAGAGTCATCGGGGAACGATATCGGCCCATCCCACTTGGATCCTGTAGCTAACACAAGAACATCATACTCAATGACTCGACCATCGCTCAGCGCCAAACTCCCCGAATTGGAATTGTCCCCAGCGTTTACCTTGGTCACTAGGCCTTCAATGAATGTCCCATTTCCATTGATGAAGACTTTGTCGTAGGGAACCAGGATTCTTTCTTCGAGCTTGCCTTTGTCGGAGACGAGCATGCGAAGCGAGGCAGGGAGGATTATTCGAAATGGGTGCTTGTTGATGAGTAGGAGCTTGTGCCTTCGTGGGTCAAGGGTTTTGGATAAATAGCGAGCGACGACGACTCCTCCTGTGCCACCCCCTACGATAACGACTGTGCTCTTTTTAGAGGACATGTGGAAGAATTTCAAGAAAGATGTAATAACCGGTCTCTGAATCTGTGTCCCTTTTTAAAGGGCCTACATACAATAATCAAGGCTTGATAGAGCTTGATACGCGAACGAGTTGACTATTTGCTGCTTACAGTCTTGAATGCTTTGGACATGGTTCTGGGAGAGATTGATAAGTACCAGCAGATCATGACGAGATGTGGATTACATTTATCAACACGTAAAAGGGAATTTTGTCAGCGTCAAAGCTGAAAAGTCAACTAAGCCGTCCTTTGACTGTTAAAATGACCGCAATAATTGAGCCTGAATTCCACGCTATAGTACAGTCCGAAATCAAGATATTGAATACATATCAAGTAAATATACTGTACAGCTCGTGTACCGCCTCAACACTAACCAAGCGTCCCAGTGCTCTTCCTGCTTGATCTCCTTCGCAAGCTTTCTCCGCTCAAAGCCGCAGATGCGCTCTCCTTCCCCTTAGTACGTGCTCTGACTTCTGATTTTCCGGTTTCCTCTTTACTCTCCGATCCCAATAAACGCATCAACTTCCTCTTCTCATCACGCTGCTCTGGATCTTCATACGTGACTCTCATGCTCTGCTCTTGGTATGAATCCACGTCCAATACGATTGTATCGGGATGGCCGAATCCAAAGCTGTCGTCATTACCGTCACCTTTAAATGCATGAAAAGGATTGTCAGAAGAATGTTGTTGTACATCACTGAACGTTGTAGACTGAAACGAGATGGGTCAACTTCCTTCTAGCAAGACATTCTAACCGCTCTGACCTTTGTTCGCATAGGCCTAGGTCTCTTGCCATCAGCTCTGTCTCCTCGTTTCCTGACACCATCCCGACTCCCATCAACGCTTTCCTCTGACCTCCGTTTTCCCAGTAGACTCGTCAAGCTTTCATGCAAAGCCTTCGTCGCTTCAGCATCAATGGGCTGTGCCGGCGGGTAATACTTCGATGGCGATTTGGAAATAGACTTGGTACGAGTAAATGCACGTCCATTCCCTTTCCCAACCTGTTTGGCTGCAGGTTTGATAGGCGAAGGTGTATTGGACGAAGGGACATTCATCTGCTCTTCCGAGCTGGAATTCACGACCATGATAATATCAGGGTGCAGCTCCGCGCTCGTCAAAGCATTTAGGTCAGATTCGGAATGTGAGGCATGCACCCTCGGAGGACCATCGACAGATGTGAGTGACGTAGGAACACTGATTTCCTTCTCTTCTGGGTCAGTTATTGATGAATTTGCTAGGTCGTCGTGAACTGGTGGCCGTAATATTGGTAGAAGCATTGTCGGCTTTCCGAATGTACTATTTTCAGCAAGGTTGAGCTGCGAAAGAGAGGGTACCGCTAAAATGGACGGTCGAGAGTTCCGCTCTTGTTCTGGTGGTCGAGGGTATGGAGGTAGTTCAATAAGTTGTGAATCATCTTGAGTCTGTGACTGTGAATCGATACCTAGGCAAAGAAATGAACAACATGTCTGAATATAATGATTGAGCTTACGGTTCGTGATATCTGCAATTGGCATCTCATTATTTGTGTCTTTATGCTTTCCTTTCGGATTAATCTCCTCTGATTTGCCAATTGGTTGTGGTTTTGATGGGACTAAATGTTCGTGGACATCTGGCACTACACCACTACGTTTCATTTCTTCTAGCCATGTCATATTTACGACGGGAACACCCCACTCTTGAGCTTTCTCGAACTTAAGACCTTCCGCTGACGGGCAAAGGAGATGGGTCGCACGTTTCGAAAAGTTCGACAGCAGGGTGAGACCTACGACAAAGGACCGTTTAGACGACATACGATATAAAAATGGAGATAAACTCACCCAATGCCTTTATCAACCTAGTCACGAAGAATCTTTCTGCTTGATCGAAGCCTGAGAAGCTTATGCGTACACTTTCTGAGCTGGGGATAGGACACCGCACACCAACTGGCGTGAAGGTGACATGATCGTCAAGAGAGCAGAGCTTCTCTTCGTACAAACATTTCTCCAGCCAACACTCCGTCCGAAACTTGTCTCGGTTGAAGGGTGACTGGATAGAAGCGAAAATACTGCTCCCACTATGCGGAAACTAAGATAAGCTGACACACATTTATTGCACACAGAAGGGACGAGTTTTGCATACCTTACCAGACGGACAATAATAATATCCACCTCGTACGCCTCGGCTTCTAGGTCAACGTTTTCGACAAAAGCGCCACCGGCTTTTCTTATCGCACCACGAACGCTATCACAGTTGCCCTCGCCTAGGGCAGTAACTCTGAGACCTGAAAAAATAGAGGGCGTATGTGGTGGTGGTGGTAGATGCGTCCTCGGAAGTACATCTTCGAGAGGAGCAGAGTCCCTGGTTATTGATGGTCCAGCTCCGGGAGTATCTATTTCCATATCCGCAGCTTCAAAGCCATTTGTTTCACCAACTGGAGAAAGATCCTTCACCATTCGCGTAGATAATAACCGGCGCAGGGGTTGTTTGGGAGGTAACTGGGCGAAGGAGTTGGCGCGCCGAAAACTTGAGCTGGACAGAACACTTCTGTTATTTCTTCCTGGATGACTGTCCTCCTCCTGATCCTCTACTGGAACGGGATGTCTAGGTTTAGTGGGGCTTTTTATCAGCATTGTCTCCTCTTCGTTCCACGTATATCCTCTCGGTGCCAATACACTGCGCCATAGTTCCCTTTGGAATCCAACAGGCTTCCGTACTGAAGCCTGAACAGTTTCCTCTTCATCTGCTGAGGGTTTATTATTGTTAGCAGTATTCTGCGCCGCATCAGCTTTTACTTTATCCGGCGCTTGCCCTTGTTCAGATGATGAACTTGGCATAGCAGCTACCACGATGTCAATACTTAAACGAGAAAAGACACAAACAATAACTAACAGGCTTCAATGCTCTTTCTTGGCTTTGGTCTAGGTCGTCGGGCCTGATAAATGTTTTCGTCAAATCGGCCTGGATAGAATATCTCAAAAATCGTAAGACTGTTAAAGGAGGACCACAAACCTCCGAACTCCAGCGAATCCCAAAACCACTCTTCCCACACAAGCTTGATATCGGCTTCTCCTTGTTTGTTAAATTTCTCAGCATAGAACATTTTATCCGTTTCCTCATCGCCGGAACAGAGCAGATGAGTTACTACTACAGGTCTCTGAAGTGCTTTCACATAAGTCCCCCCTTGGCTCATAACAAGCTTGCTGATTTCAGTGCGGCGAACGACGTCCGGTATACCTGAGACACATAACACCACACCGGTGAAGATAGGAAGTCGATGTCGTTTCACGCTCTGATTAAAGCGATTGAGAGAACGGCAAAAGAAACTGAACAAGACCACCAACCTGTCGGAAATCTACATCATCGCCATGCAGCCAGATATCATAGCTTTCTGTGATCCATGATGGTTGGAGAATGGGTATTTTGTGTTCTAAGGCGCACTAAGAGATGTTGCTGTCATGAGTGATAATAAGACATTATGATATAGTGGAAACCGACTTTGTATTTGGCGCTGCCATGCTCATTAGCGATGAGATGGGTGACAGAGGTAGTGAAGTCATTGATAGCGGTGGCCCCGAGTTCGATAGCTTGCTTGAATATTCCTGGCTTGAGAAAAAGTCAGAAAGGTACAGTGTCGATGTCTTCGACGCACCTTGTCAGTAATTCCAGTAGCACACACTACCACGCCAGCAAAAGGTCGAGGAGTAGGATCATAGTATCTTGAATCATCGCCATCGAACTGCGCTTGGCTGTCTTGCACACGGACATCGTCGATTTCCGCGTAAATTCGAGAACTCGACGCGCCGGGCTGTGCTGGTCGAAGTTTGACACCGGGAACCTGAATATTTGGAGCATTAAGCACGTTCCAGGTTTCATAGAGGCGCACAACGGACCTTTGCAGATTTGTTTCCTCGTCTCCTCATATTAAGTCGTAGTGGTTAGTGTTGTTGAATCAAGCTGGCGTGACAAGAGTTCGCGCTTGTCACATGAAACCTCGTGGTGTGACGCACCCGTCTTTCTTAAACCCCAGTGCACTAAGGATGTCTTTGTCGACAACCAGCCATATCAAGAGCCAACTAACGAATAATTTAGCCTCGAAAGCACCCATATACTTCACATGCCTCCAGAAATTTGTAACTGGGCGAATATCTCGCACAGAATTCGACGACACCTTAAAACCCATTCTTGATGCTCCGTACCTAAGTAAGGTTTAGAATTCACATTTCCTACAAGCTGATCATGACTTGTAGTAACCAGTTCAACTTCACAATGCCCTCATCATCTCTCTCTTTGATGCTCGCAGTCATAAACGGCCTGTCACCCCGCCCCCGGACCAACCCAAGCCACCACCACGGAAACGGCGGCGAACACTTCCGTACCAAGGTCCGGATACGGCAGACGAGGATCTTGGTTCTCGGTCATCACGATTAAAGAGATGGGCTATCTCACTTGGGAAGGCCGAACGCGAACGTATCCGAGCTTTACCGTCTGTCCCTCCATTGTACGAACCTAGAAAAGAGATCACGGAAGAGATTCAAAGAGAGAGACCTCTGTATCTACCGAAAGAACGTGATGGTATGATACATCCACCATTAGCCACCACCTCGTACTGATCGCATACTTAGAACCTCCTGGTTCCCGTCCTTCCATTTCACTTTCCACCATGTCCCGTGCACCTACGGTTCAACACATCACAGAACGAATAAACCTCGTATGTGCACAACACAATCTACACGCACCCCAACGAAACGTCGCTACACTGATGCATCTCGCTTGCGAGGCAAGCTGAATATCATATTCTAATCATCAATTAAACTTACTTTATCTGCTCCTCCAGGTTAAACTGAAGCAACTAATAACTCACGCATTGACTTTAACGACCCAATCGCTTGCCATATCATCTGTGTCTATGGCAAAATCCTCTCAATCGTCAAAGATTCTATCAACAGCGGCACTCGAGGCGTTGTTCACGATATCTCCAGCTGACCTTCCAAATAAGAGTGCGGCCGTTATGAGGTCGGCTCTTGGAGACAGAGATGAGGATGATGAGGATGATGGCATCCCTATCCTCAAGAATCGGGAGGTGAAGAATCCAAGGTGGCAGATCGCTGCTCTCCTTGCGCAACGCAGTGCTGTGAGGGAGACACTCCTGGGGCTTCGATAGGTGACGCAATGTTTTGTATCAAGTGCGCCTGATATGTATTGATTATGTATAATACCTTGAAGAGCTCTCATACTAGTTCACAAGCTTTAGAACCCGTGCCTTCGCCACGGTGGCTCGCTTTGCTCGCACCGTGTGCTACAGCAGGGTTCACAGCTTGTTGGGGGCAAGCCCCCAAACCCCCCTTGGTCGGCGCCTTGCGCCTCCATACTGTCAGATTCATTATATAGTATTATAAGCTATTTTCATTGACAATGATATACTTTCCATTTTTAAAAGAACTTCTGGTGGGTACACACTATCTGTAGTAAGGCACATCTGCAAAACATGTGTTTTCAGCTAACAATCCAAAAGCAGCTGAGAGCACTTCCCAGCAGCCAAAGCACCCAGAGCAAGTCAAAAATCTTGCTTTCGGTGCTTTCAATGCTGGAGAGTGCTCTCCAGCCAGTATCCTTGCTCTGGCAAGTATACAGGTTTTGCAGATGTGGTAGGCACTAGTTTATGCTCATTGTGGCTCGATGATGAGTAGTAATTTAGAATTTAGTATGAGATTGGCAAATCTAGTTGTAGATAAAGTGAACGAAATAACGAGGCTCGTTCTGGCTAAGTGTGATTAAGATCTGGCTAGTCCCGCTCATGCTGGGACATGTGAGTTTTCACTGGGATTCATGGGTATCTGTATAGATGAGTCTGGAGGTGTTGTCCATTGTCCAATGAAAACAGTGTTATCACATTCGCAACGTGAAAAACCCAGGTCTTCTAGCGCAGTAGACGAAGTCAAATACCATGCTGCGGATGCTTGATGGAGTTCATAAAGTGCACATTGTAAACAATATACCGTGGTTGGTTGGTTAGGAATAGGGCATCCTGGAATTTGCTTCACATAAACTTCTTCCGCTAAAGGTGCATTAAGGAATGCCTGTTTAACGTCAAAAGAAAAAAGTTCCAACATGAGTTCATGTTGGCCATCCATGCCATCACTATTTGATATGAAACCATTCGGGTAACAGGGGCATGTACATTACCATAGTCTTCAGGTCGTTGTGTAAAACCTTGAGCAACGAGTTGCGCCTTCCTCGTCCCATCGAGTTTGAGGTCATACACCATCTTGAGACCGATTCACTGGGGGGATGGCATCTTTTTCAGCCGTGGAAATTTCCTAGATATCATGTAGATTAGATAAAGATATTTGACTGTCAATTTATTAGTTAAATTCAAAGGATATTAAAAACCATTAAATACTGGGAAGCATTTCGGAAACATGATTTCAATATATACTGCAATGAATTTTTGCATTAATTGAGGCCAGATTACTACAAGATTAAATGCCTTGAATGTGTGGAAAAATACTCGAGTTAATCTCAAGGTCCTATTGTGTGATTATGAGAGGGTTATTTGACATATATGGTCATTTATCTGCAAGTTTCTCACCTCAGATTATTTGGAATATATTCTGAAATTTGCCTCACAGATACTGCGGTAATAATTATGGTGTGTATATGAAGGATATACTCAACTACATTATGCAAGAGTAATCAAACATAATCATCAAGATATACTTGAATTAATACTGTGGAAAAATTACTGAAATATTCACGGTTAAATGAAGTAAATTTTGAAGTTTTCCAGCTTAGATTATTTGTACCCGATATCGGGGACATCGAGACATCACTGACATCCTGACATCAGATACATCTCTGAGGTCAACATATCTCAAGACATATTGATGTCATCAACATCTGGACTATACACAGAGTATTTCATTGACTATTTTATTATGTATGTATATGTACAATAAACTTCATCTCAGTGTTGCAATGACTGCAATGATAATAGGTATAATTACTCTATATACATGTAAGACCTGGGTCGGAATGGGTCTTATGGTAGGGATTGGTATATGAGGGTTTATGTTGTAGCATGCTAGGAGCAGGCTGGAGCTCGAAGGGAGCTACGGGAACCGCAACCGAGGACGGGAATGACCTAGTAGTGGCTGGAATGACGAGATGGTGACCCTTGAGGGGGTTCCTAGGAGGTCCAGGGAGGTTAGGTAAGAGTGCGGTAACGAGCTTGCCTCGTTTTTGTGTGAAAGAGAAAGGAAGGAATCTAATGGGCACTCCAACCAACCAATCTAATACACAATATGCGAGTTCACTGCTATCAAATTTATTTAATAGCAAGGGGTAGCGTTGGCAAAGGTTCCGCAAAGCTTTGAGAGCTAAGCACGAAGCTTTGATCAATCAATTTGAATCGTTCTAAGGGTTCGATATATTCCTTTGATCAAGGTAGATTCAGCACGATTTGTGCTTTGGTTTGTATTGATTTGGGTATATCAAGAATTGGGGGTTTGAATCAAAGTAAATTAAAACCGAAACACACAGACCCCTACAGAGGGCTAGAACTATGTGCTGGCACAACCACACAGCGTGATTTGCCCTTAAGACCAACGACTGATCCTAAGTTCGAAGAATACCCAACAACTGGATATACTTCTCGCAGTCACAAGGAGCAGAACACGACGTTCCTATACTCACAAGTGCCGGGCCCGAATGGCTGCTAGCGAAGAGGTTTCAGTCTGGCGGGAGTGTGTCTTTCCTTTTTACGGATTAGCACTGCAACGTCGTCCCAAAATCACTTGTATTCCAGATACATCGGATCGCTATTTATACATACAGAATATAGAGTCGCATAGTACAATTAATTTAATACAATAAACGTTCGGAACCGCAAGGAAACTTCTACACTCAGTCAGATACCATTTAATTTGAATCTACATGTCCTTATTTGGTCCATATTGGTTCCAAGATTCTAGTATACCTCCAAACATAGGTAGGTACTTCAATATTCATTTAATTTAATTGTTTTTAGAGAATGACTCGAATGGTGTTCAACTGTCATTGCGGTTCAACACTTACTTCGATCGTTTGTCATCTCGTCCGGAGGCAAATCAACTCTCCTCGATTCTAATCCTATCAATCTGATTCATCTGGATTAAACTAATTGCTTCTCTCTTTCAACAGACACCCATTGTGCCTATACTCTATCAAGGGAGTTACGCATAGTATTCATTTAATTGCATTCTTCAATGTTTTCTACGTCAGGACTCTTTGACATTCATTTGATATGTCTTCGGAGCCTCGCAGTCTTTCGATCGTTCTTCTAGTCATTTTACTCAACCATGCAACTTGATTGGTCTATTAGACTAAATCACAGTCCTTTAGATTAATGCATGATCTTGTTCTAGAAGGAGTATTTGATAATTCCTGAGTTCTAGAAAGTCATTTCGAGTCAATCCTCGGTTCATGGTCACTTGAGTAAGTTCTTCCAAACTCCTGCCAGTGTAAGGTCCAATAAGAATACCCTTGGTATGTCATACGTGAATGGTCATCCTTCGGATGTAGTCCGAGTCTGGTATAATCCTGCTTGACAAACAGGTAGACTGCTATCCGTAGGTAGTATCGGGGATGGGTAAACTGACCAACTTGTGGTAGTATGGGTATATGGTCCCTTCAACTTGTTAGACTGATTCAGTATTGACTTTGACTGTCAATCTGGGTCTCAATTACAGTCCTCTCGATACAAATCTATACGTGAAAATGTCACAATTCACAATATAGACGTCTAGCCAAAATTTAGGCGTGTCAGCGGGACCGTATGATATTGCATAGTAGGAGTTGTACTCGCTAGAACGTCAATATAGGATCAAGTAGGCCGTAGATGTAAATGGGTCTTGAGGGTGTAAGCTCCCGAGAAGGTATATGCCCGGGAGGGTAGGTCCCTGGGGACTGAGCTTGAGGATGGACGTCCTTGAGTGTTAGAGGTGGTAACGGAGAAGCAATATGTAGTTCGACGTTACTTAGATCGAGGTCCCGAAGCTTACGAAGTAGCTAGGGAGCTCTGGGAGGTTTGGGGAAGGGTGGCTCACTGAAGCATTTAGGCGTTGGGGAAGGGTGGCTCACTGAAGCATTTAGGCGTTGGGGAGCTTTAGTAATGTTCGAGGGAGCTCGGAGACTCACTCGGATGGCTTAGACTTGAAGTAAAAGTGTATATTCGATCGTATAGACGATCAGAGAGACAGTAGACGAGAGTAAGGAGAAACAGAGGTAGAGAAACAGAGAGTAAAGAGAAATCCGTATGGTTAGCAGGTACAAAGGGACAGGGACTGGACCTATGCAAAAGGGTGTGTGTTCAAAACATACCAAGCTGGGGCTTGGGGATGTTGCGGAACTACTTAAATAGGTACAGGAAGTGAACAAGGGAACATCAGGGGATCTAGTGAACATGAGGCGGTAATCGAGATTGATACTTAATGGAGTTGCTGTAGGGGGTCCTGTATGCGCGCCGGGGAATGTATGCGTGTCGGGGAAGTCATCAGGCACTTGGGTAACGGAAGCTGTCTTGGGGGTTTACGGAGCTAGATAAGACATATGGGAGCTTCTGGTTGGTGCTGGGACGGGTTCTGGTGGCGGTCATGGCATGGCAGTGTGTCGGTGAAGGATGTTTGGGTAGGTATATGGTGGTACTTGGGGAGGTGTAGAGGTGCAGGAGGGAGGTGCATGGTGGTACTTGGGGAGGTGCAGGAGGTAGATAGAGTGTGTGACAATGTGTGGCGGGTACTGGGGCTGGTCTGGTTGTAGGCAGGGCATGACAATACAATACTATTCCTTGGACCCATGAATATGAATTTCTCACTGTGAGTTGTCCCACCTACAAAATCAATCAGTGAGAAGAATTGAGCAAGATTCAGTGTGACAAACAAGAGCAAAGTACTCGGGGACGTGAGTTGCAAACTGCATCTAATGCAAGATGCACTAGGTGTTCTAAAAAATAATCTTTAGACAAAAAAAAAGTATAAAGACAGAAATTACCAGTTTGGTGGGCATAAGGGGTCCAAATAGCAGCCAACCATGTTTTAGGAGATGTATGGCAGCTTCGTTTCCATTCACGAATATGATGTGATATGTTGTTTGTGCGCCCAACCTTGTATGTTACATTTCCTTCCA